CCATCATAGCCACTGGTCTAAAAAGGGCCTTCAAATTATCAGGTAATTCTGTTCTTCCAGCATAACCAGGATTCATAGTGATAAATACTGAAAATGTAGGCAAAATTTTAATAAATGAACCTTCAAATTCAACTTATGGAGTTCCTTTTGCTTTTTCTCCAAATAATACTAACAATTATTATGCAATGACTGATAACACTTCAATATTGATACGATTGAATTCATCAAAACAAGCCCAAGCACCAGCAGATGCTAATCCCTTAAAGAACTTACCAACCATAATAAAATCCATAGAGTCTGAACAATTAAACACTACACATTATTTTGCCAAAGCTTTTGCTAAGTCCTTTGTTGATTCAGTTTTACCTGTACCAGCTGGTCCTGCTGGAGCTCCTCCCAAATTCAATCTTAATGCACCCATCAATGTCATATAACATTTATCAGTTAATGGAGTAATAACTAATCTTAATGTATTTCCTAGATATTCATAACCATATGGGAAATTGGTTTATACACATTTTACCCAACAATCAAAATCTACTTATTGATTCTCCCAATAATATCTTAATTATGATATCCATTCAAAAGCAAACTTATCATATACTTCACCATCCACCATCTTCTATACTACATCTTTGGCATGTACATCAATGACAATTAAAGCATTTATTGTAACCATAGCTTACTTTGATAATTTAGTTCTAACCAAATCAACTAAGGATCCTAATTATTCTTCTAATTTTTTGAAATATCCTTTTAAATTCTATCCATCAATTGCTGTTTCTACTTCTTTAGTCCAATGCACTTATGATCCATTCAATACACATTAACCAGGATGTTTCAAAACCCATTCTTCTCTCTTAATTTGTGTATAATTTTCAATACTAACCATTAATGCTTATCTAACTGATAATTTCATCATATTTTCAACTTCATTCATCCATTCTTCAACATTCTTTTTATTTGGATCAACAATTTTTACAAATGGTACTTTTTCCTTTTCTGCTGAAAACATAGCATGAATTTTCTTATCCTTATCAAATTCAATTGAATTTATATTCTCAAATACTTTTTTAAGATGAGGTTATACAGCTGTTGGTTCTTTAGTTTATGATAGAATTTCTAATAATTCATCATTTGATAAAAAGTAAAATCTAGCAAACTTCTCTCTTTTCTTTTCCAAATAATTATTTAATTCTTTTTGAACCATTTCTAATGTCTTATTGGCTTCATGTAATCTTTCCCATAATCCATCCTCAATACATACATCCAATACTTTTTCTTTAGCCTTTGCTTGTGTAACTGTAGTTCTCCATGTTTAATCAACAGTTTTAAATTTCTTAGTTTCTGCTGGTAATTACTTTGCAATATCTTATGAATCGAAAATTGGTTATAAATACATCCATTATTACTAAAATTTTGCCCATTCTTCTAATATATCTTAAATCTTTCTCAATGATTTGTCCCATTCACTGATTCTTTCTTCAAAGAATTTCTTAAATGGTGAAAATACCATTGCTGAAGTATTAATAATATGTTCATCTAAAACAATTTAAATTTCATCAAATCCTTTAAGAATAAATGTGTTTTTGTATTAAACACATTAAAATTTAATATTCTCCCAAGCATTAAGCATATTATCAAGCATCATTTCTATTTAGTATTCTTTACTTGCAGTTTCTCCAACATTAACAACTTTATCAATGACATCCATAAATCCATCATTCAAAATTGTTTAAAAACAGAATCCCTATTCTTCAGGATTAATAACATGATCTAGACCTTTCAATTAAGATACCTATGTCCAATGTCTTACAGTCATACCTTTTTTCCTAAGAGCTGATAATAATGGTACTTTTGGTCTAAATTCATCAATTTCTGCTTTTACAGCTTCAGCAATCTTCTGGATACCTGTTACTTGAATAGTTCTCATAGCTGTCTAGATATTTTTAACACCTTCCTCAACTATCTTTTCACATTCATCAGCATCAACATTCATAAAATCATCATTCAACCATAATTTGATACCACTCTTAAATTTATAAGTGCTTGACCATAAATCATAATAAGGTTTAAATTCTCTAGACATAGAATTCAATTTGGCATAATCAGTTTAAGGTTTATCAAATAATGCTTCTTACATATTGAATTTACTAGCTTAATCCTAAAACTCACTTATTTACTTCATCACATATTCAACTACTTCTGCCATTTCTTTATTTTTACTCACATCTTAATGTTTATGAAATTCTTGAATAGTTCTTTCCAAATTATCAATCTACTCTTTAAAATCTTCTTATTAAACTTTAGCATCATCAGAAAATTTCACTTTTAATTTCTCCAATTATCCATTTCTCACTTCAACCATCTCCTTTATTTCTTTAGGACTTCCAAATATTTTCCATCTTCTTTGAAAATCATCTAATGGAAATCTATAATTAAATTCCTCCAACATTTTGAATACATCAAATAATTAATTCATTTTCACTTTCATTTTCTCCAACTCTTATGGTAAATTACTAATATATTCCTTTAATATTGTCAACTTTTCTATTGTATCTGGTTCCTCAAGAATTGTCTTCTTGATATCACCAAATTCTTGAAATATTCTAATACTTGTATTTCTTGCTCTTCTAGCAATAAGATCAATTAGATTTTTTTAAAGTGCTTAATATCTTTCAATTAATATTCCTTTAGCTTCATTCAAATGAATTTCAAACATTCCTACATGTATAAAATCCAATATTTCTTCATTTAATTATTTTTCCTTCTAAGTTGCTTTAATTATTTCATCACGAATTGATTCAAATTCCCTTGGAGGATCTTCTAATTCAATATCTCTTGCAACATCATCTGGTCTTAATTTTAAAACTGGAATATATTTATTAAAAACAGTTTTGTATTATTCTAATGGTTTTAATGCTTCCTCAATAGATGCTTTTACACTATAATATGTATCCCAAACCCATTTATTTTCATCAGCAAATTTCCTAGGTCTTTCATTAGGATCTGGTTCAACAGGTTCTTATATTGGCATTATTGGTGCCTTAATGAAAGTTTCTAGTTTTTGAGATTTATGTAAATCAGACAATATTCTTGGTTCTAAATCTGGTATCTTAGCCATTTCATCTACTGCTTTTTTCATTGCTTACAACGATATTAAGACATATAAAGTAGGATTAGTTGTAAATTAGAAGAAATCATCCTTTGCTAATAATTCTATTTGAAATAAGGGTAATTTTCTATCATGGCTAAATACTTAAACTCTATTGTCAGCCTTATAACCATCATCATAATGATTCAATACCCAATCTGTATTTTTAATATCAACATTTATAGGTATATTGCTTTTGATTGTCTTCTAATATCTATCAAAATTTGATTTCATAAGTGTTGTAATTGTGTCTTGCATCATCAATCTAATAACTGTTAACATACGTTTCAATTTACCAAAGTCATATGTGATTTTAGATGTCTCTTTCATATTGAACCATCCTTTTCCAATATCAGCAAACCTATCTTTAATAATCTTGATCATAGTAGGTACCCATGTTCCTTTTAATTGATACATCAATGATGTGGTTGCATTTTCTTACATGTGTTTGAATTCATCTAAATGTAGTGCACCTTCTCTTTTAGAAAAATCAAACAAACTCTCTTTTAATACTTAATTGCATTCATGTCTTATATCTTACAAAGCCTTAACTACTTCTTAACTCACATATAAGGTAGAAAATCCAAAATTCTTATTTAATTCATCAAAAGTCAAAGGTTTTCTGATAAATGGTTCATCATATTTAAACATCCATTTTTCCATGACTCCTTTAGATGCTTCAAGTTCCATCCAACCATAATAACGAACTTCTTTTTTTTTCTCTTTTGCAGGCAATCTCAATTTTGGATAGTTTTCATCTTATTATTCATCATCTAAATATTTATCAAATATTATTTTATTCATAGTTCTCTAGAAATCCATATTAACTTCAAGAAGTAATTAAGTTGTTTCCATAGCTTCTAACTTCTTTGTCTTTGCATTCTATTCTATTCTTTTCTTTTATTCATTATCTAATTCACTTAAATCAAATAATGACATATTATCTATGAAATAATTATATCTAACAAGAGCATCAGCATATATTCTTTATTAAAATGCATTATTTAATCTCTTAACATACTTACGTGGATCTTCTGCATCAAAACAAATATATAATCTATGTAATTCTAATCTAACATCATCTTTCAACCATTTGCCTATAAATTTCTCAGATTTATATTCTAAAATTTCTAAATATTAATATTCATCTCCTCTTAATCCCAAACCTAATAGTGGATGTTTAATTCCTTCTTCATCTTCTTCTCTTCTTATCCAATCCTCATTACTATTATCATCAAAGGTAGTATCATCAAAATATTCAAGTTTCAACCACTCTACTATTTAATCCTTTTATTTAAAATCAATTCCAGCTTCTTAAAGTAATCTATTAAAATCAAGAGATCGAAACTCCTTTCTTTTTCTATCAATAGCCACTTTTCTAGGTACTTCACCAGGAATAGGATCATATGGTAATATAACCTAATAATGCCACATTTTTATTTACTTTTGGTTCTACACTTGTAACTTGTTCGTTTTTTTATCTTGTCTTTAATTGATTCCTTGGTACTTGTCGAGATGTCAAATCAGATCGCAATTATTGTCGATTACAACTTGATGTTTGTAACCGTTGCAAGGAGATTGCCTTAGGAATTGTTTACCGACTTATCGTTGTCATAATTAAGTCAGGTGATGGACCCTAATTATAATTCTTGACATTGTATTCACTAGGTAAAGTAGGGTCTAACACTTCAGAGAATACTCCTCTTTGCTTTTATGAAATTTATGCCATTTTTATATCAAAATTTATATATATACAAAATATCTCTCTTTTACTATTCTGCTTCACACTTCTTCCTTCTACACCCCCCTCATTTTATTATTTTGTAAAATTTAAATTAAAAAAAAGATGGAGAATCCTGTTGAGAGAGCAGTCAATGAGGCAACTGCTGATACACTCTAAATGCCTGATTAGAAACTAATGAAATAGGTAGCTGATCTTGTCAACTAAAGAGCTGACTAGTAAGATTCTAATTCAAACCATAGATCAAAATTTGCAGTCTAGGCAATAGGCAAGAGACTCATGCAGCTTCGTAATGGCAAGGTTTAAGCCCTCTCAATGGAGCTCATTGAATATCTTGCATTTACTTGCGAAACACCATTCTATACTTAGATTGCTACCAATGACTTTCTATAAAGACTCAACACCCTCCTTAACCCTCAAATGAATGCCCAAGTAATTCACTCATTTACTCCAAATAGATGCAATAAAGATTACTCTAAGTGATCGCAGTACTCAAGTCACTTATGCAATCACACCAGGATCTATTTCCTGCTTTCTTCCAATTCTTGCAAAAGATCGCTTCTAAACGTAACTGTCTTCTAGCATCTGCTTTTTAGATCAAATACCCCAAAATTATGAAAGCAAATATGCAGTACTCCGAAAGTCACAACCAGTATACTCTTCAGGAGCTAGAACAAACAGCATAGGATCTGTAAAAATTCTGTATTAACATACCAAGGGCAGCTCCAAAAATGATAAACTCAGACGTGACTTAGAGATAGTCAAATCCAACATTACATTGACTAATGTAAATGAAATATTTAATTATTAGGAAATAATTGACAATGCAAATCCTTAGGAAGATGCAAGTAAAAATGAAATCCTCAAAGATATGACTACCACATTAAGAGGAGTTGAAGAAAAGTTAAGAAAGTACTGTATTTTCGTTTTAACTAGTTTAATTACTGATATGGGAAATAATGATGAGGGGTTGATGAACTTTTGCTTAGAATTGAATGATGATTTACTTAAAGTAATCTTGTTTATAAATTATTATTAGACTTTTACTCGATATGAAATATTGAAGAAGCATAAGAAACCTGATCCTTTTAGACCTGAATAGTAATAATAATAATAATAATAACAATTGCCATAATAACCACCAACATAACCATAAAATATTTAGTAAGGTCCATTCTAATAATAATAAAATCCCTTTAGCATTCCTCCCCCCATATAATAATAAACTTAGCCATAACAAATTCAACAACCTCCATAACCAAAACCTCAATAAATTGATTTATTAAATTTATTTGAATATGATGAACCAAAACCAGTAGCACCATAAAAAGGGCCATAACCAACATAAGTAGTATAAGCTGAAAAATAATAAAATATGTAAAATTTGTTGTTTATAGTTTCTAAAGAATTGATTTATTTGAAGTAGATATGTCAAATCCTTAGCCATAATAATAATAATAATAAGTTCCATAATAATATTAATAATAATAATCATAAATACCACCAATTTAATAAATACCACCTATTTCTTAAATTCCTCCACTGTCATAAATACCTCCTGTATAGTAATTTGTCTAACCACCAATGCAGTCCTAAAATTTTGGATAAGCCCCTATTTCATAAATACCATAATAATCAAATTATTCAGTATTAAATGCATTCCCTCCTTAATAATAATTTCCTCCCTAATAATAATAATAATAATATCCTCCTTAGTAGTAATATCCCCAATAATAAAATGTATTAATTTTATTCTATTGAAAGTTACAATAATTTTATCAACAATAATAGTTTAACTAATAATAAATGAAGTATTAAGCATTCTAATAGTAACCAAATTAACCTATCCCATACTAATAAACTCAACCTTTTCAATAATAAGGATTCCCTTAACAACAATATCCAGTGATAAGCAGTAAGATAAATTGATATATATTTAGACATATCTAATTAATAGAAGAAACCAGAAAATGAATTTGACAATATACTTAATTTGGCAGTAGGTTAAAAACCATAACCTTAGTAATAAACATAGTAATAATAATAAAAGTTAGACTTTATTTGATATCTATATAGTTCAAAAATATAAAATCATAAGACTATTATTAGATTCTAAATTAACAATAATAATAATATAAATACACATATAGACTCATTTAAATGATTTAGTTTTAAAGTGCATAATATCACCATCTTTCACAATGTAATCCTTACCTTCTTTTGAAAACTTCTTTTCATAGACATCTAAAGCATTATCTCCAAGTTTCTTAAATTTTTCGAAAGACATGACTTCAGCATTAACAAATCCCTATTTTAATAAAATATAATACTTTTTCAAAATCTGAATGAATGACAGCAGCTGCTTAAGGTGCTTTAATATTTTTCTTTACAGTCCAACTTCTAACTTCATCTGAACCAACAGTAAAAAATCTAATTAAACCTAATAAATCATATCCAGCAATAATAATTTGATCTAATAATTATTATTAATCTTGATTTTCAACAGAATAATAGACAATTTTACTATCTGGACTATTTTTGGATACCCATTATTCAATAGGTTTTGCATACTTATTTTATTTCTTTGCTACATAAGCATCATGATCTTCTTTTGATAAATTAATTAAATAGATAGATGGCTTTGCTGTTAATAATTAAATTTTCCTTAACTATATTTATTCTTAATCTGTCCATTTTTGATATCGAACCCATTATTTCTTTTTTAAGAGTTCATCACATTTTTATAAAACTTTATATTATTCTACCATTTCTCTAGCTTCAACTGAAACATTTTTATTAGCTTCATACTTTTTAATTTTTTTGCCAAATTCATCCACTCTCTTTGAAACAAATTAATAATCCTTAGCCATTAATTCTTCAGATATAATTTATAAATCTCTTATTGGATCCATGGTACCTTCAGTATGTACAATTTTCTCTTTCTCAAAGGCTCTTACTACCTAATATAATCCATCCACAGCTTAAATATGAGCTAAAAATTCATTTCCTAAACCATATCCTTCAGATGCTCCTTTCACTAAACTAATGTTGTACTTATTATTACCCTGCTATATCAATAATACTTAAAGTAGAGAAGATTGATGACTTTGGTTTAAAAATCTAACATAGATAATCAAATCTAGGATCAGGAACCTTGACTACTGCTTAATTTGGATCAATGGTACAAAATGGGAAGTTTTCTGCTGGCACAGATTATTTACTTAGCATGTTGAATGTTGAACTCTTCATAGAATTGAATTATATTACCTTACCAACGTTAGCCATACCCACAATTCCCATTTTCAAACTTGAACTAATACGAGTCAATTGGGCCATTAATAAATTTATGTTAGTCAATTCAGGAAATTTGATTGTTAACATAAAAAATGATATTATGTAGAGATACTATAGGATTAAACTAATAGGTTAAGGAAGTTTTGGAAAAGTATACAAAGTAAGAAATTAAGCAAATGAATTAAGAGCATTGAAAATAATAGCTAAGAAAGATTTCACAGATCAGAATGAAATAGAGAACATGAAAAAACTTGATCATCCTAATATAATGGCTATTTATGAGATAGCTTAGGATGACAATTATTATTATATAGTAAGTCAATTATGTGAAGGAATTGAATTATTTGATGAAATCCACAAAAGAATAAACTAAAATAAAATCTTTTCTGAAGATGAAGTTAGATATATATTCAAGTAGATTTTAAGTGCTATAGCATATGCTCATGATAAAAATATTATGCATCGTGATATCAAACCTGAAAACATTCTAATTGATCCTACAGATTAACATATAAAAATTATAGATTGGGGATTGAGCAAAGACATGACTAATCTTGTTTCTATCAAATAGAAAATAGGAACTATTGATTATGCAGCTCCAGAGGTACTCTTAGAAAAAGGGTATGATAATAAATGTGATTTATGGTCTTGTGGTGTAATTTTATATATTTTACTATCTGGTGAATCTCCATTTCCAGGAAATAATACAGGTGAAATAGAATAGAAAATTATTAAATCTAAAATTAATTTGAAATTGAAAATTTGGAAGGCAATTTCAAATGATGCCAAGAATTTATTATAACATTTATTAGAGATAGATCCTGTTAAAAGATTTAGTGCTTAATAAGCTTTAGAAAGTGAATGGATTCAAAAATAGACTATATCAACAATCAAAGAAATATCATCTCAAGAAATGCAATTTAGACTTTAAAAATTATCTAGATTTTGTTGTGAAAGCAAAATGGTTTAAGCTACTTTCCATCTTATGATATAATAGAATTTGACTCAAGAAAAGTATAAGTAATTGAGGTAAACCTTTTAGGAACTTGATAAGAATGGTGATGGAAAATTAAGTATAGAAGAATTAAAAGCATATTGTAATGATGATATTGATGTAGAAGATTTATTCAATAGGGTTGATACAGATAAAAATGGGTATATTGAATTTACAGAGTTCTTAACAGCTGCAGTAGATATGAAGAAACTTGCTTCTCATGATTAACTCAAAGATGCATTCCATTTACTTGATTAAAATGGAGATGGATTTTTAGAAATTGATGAAATTAAAAAAATTTTTAATGGTAAAATCTAAGTTCAAGATGAAAATTAATGGGATCAATTACTATAAGAAATAGACAAAAATAATGATGGTAAAATATCATTAGAAGAATATTAAGAAGCTATAACTAAATTTATTGATTATAATTAACCTTCTTCAAATTTTGCTAGTCAAAATCCAAATCCTGAACCAGAACCAAATATCACTAAAAAAGTTAAGTTAACTGAATCCACTTATAAACTAAGAAATAGGTAAATTAATTGATTTTATATTATTATTTTATAAATTGGTTGCACTGCATGAAAAAGACTTATAACTTAAAAATAGAATTAAATAGCTCAAGTTCTTCAGAGAAAACCTCTCCTTATTTAGATAGTGATGGAAAGTATGTTATTTATAAATAATATAAGGGAATATTATGATTATTTTGATGTAATTAAAATTGGCAATATAACTTATGGTGAAGTAAGTGCAAAAAGATGTGGAAGGATTACTATGGAAGATAGGGTATATGATTATTTGTATAATTAACTAGTTTTAAGCTATTGCAGACTTTGATGGAAAATAATAATAATTTTATTTTGGAGTCTTTGATGGTCATGGTGGATCTTATGTGTCAAAGTTACTTCGAGAACAATTGCATTTTCATTTAAAAAATAATAAGTTTTTCAATAATGATATTGAATAAGCAATTTTAGAGAGTATTGATAGCTTTATATTTCTCCAAAATTAGGTTTTAATTAAATGAATATTGATATTCTTAAATAATAACACTTATTGATGAAAGACGGTGGTTCAACTGCTTTATGTGTTATCAATGTAGGTAAAGAGTTATTTGTAATCAATGTTGGTGATAGTGCTTGTGTATTAATTGATAAAGATTTCTAAATAACTAAATTAAATTAAGAACATAAACCTGATAGAGTAGATGAGTCAAAAAGAATTATTGACAATAATGGATTTGTTTTAACTATTAAGTATTAAAACAATTAAAAAGAAATTAGGCTAGAATTAATGGTGAATTGGCAGTAAGTAGATCTTTTGGTGATCCAAAATATATTGAACATGGATTAACTGCTATTCCTGAAATCACTAAATTGTAATTGAATGAAAACTCTAAATATTTAATTCTAGCCACAGATGGATTTTGGGATGTGATTACTATTGAAACTCTTCAAAAGCTTCTCATAAATTGGGATAATTTTAAAGAGAAAGAAGGTCTTTCACAATATCTATTAGAATCAGCATAAAAATAATAAACTAATTATAAAAAAGATAATATGACAATTATCATAATTGATTTAATTATTTATTTCAATAAATTATAATGATTTCCATAATTGATAATAAATTAATTTAGATTTAGTTAAATACTTTAATAAAATAAAGGAATTCATATTTTTAATCATCTTAATAAGTTTACTTTCTGTTATATGTAAATTAATTTATAAATAGATTTTAGTATGTATATAAATTATTAATATATAATCTTTATATTACTGATAAATACAAATAATTAATTATATGGTTGATCTTAATTGTATTATTAGATCAATAGTATTTATTATAATTATGTATTCAAATAATATATATATTCTATAATTTCTATTTGGATTATTTTTTATAATATTAATTATCTTGTAAATGACTTAGGAAACTTTGAGATAGTTGGTTAGATAACTAAATAAAAACAAGTTTCTTGTAATAGTTTTTTAATTTAAATTTAGATTGCAAAACCTGCTACAGATGTTTTCTAATGTTTTTAGGCTTTCATCTTGTTGGTTAAAGGAGTAAAAATATAAGATTGGCTATTGGCTTAATTATTGATGAGCTGCAGTTTACCATAGATGGTGGAGACAATTATTGAAAAGAAAATTGATTATGCAAATATTATTTTGTGCAAAAAGCTTTATCATTTAATACCTCAATAGCAAAATTCTTTAGGGAAACTTATATACTAATTAATAAGTTAAAGTTTAAATTTTTTGGAAGATGAAAAAAGTAAGATCTAAAGAAGCAAAAGTACTATGATTAGACATGAACCAAGTATTTATAGTAATAATAATAATAAAATCATTTAATCTTAAAATAAGAATGCGACTAATCAAAGATGTAAGGAAGATATAAATAAAATATTTTAACATAGAAAAATCATAAAAAATTAAAAGAATAAGGAAGAAGATGATAAGAAATTTGAATTATTGAAAGAAAGAATGAAAAAAATAAATAAAAATAGTTATTTTATATCTCCTAAAAAAATATAATTTGATTAATAGGAAAAAATAATTCTCAGCAATAATAATTCAGAAAGATAATTAATACATAATAAACAAATGAGATCACTTAGATCTTTTAGATCTTCATTTTATGATTGAATAAAACAACTAAACTAATGATTTTGTTATACTTTATAAATTAATATAAGTATCCCTATATGATATTTTCTTGGTTATTATTATTTAATTTATATAAACTTAAAAAATCTACTAACATATCATTAATTCTACATAAAATCTACTATCTAATGATTTATATAATTAAATAATAAGTTCAAATCTTAATTAAAATAAAAATATGCTAATTATGTTTATAAATTATTATTTAGTTACATAATGTTATAATTTCTGAATATATTTATTCAAAATCTTTAAAATGAATTATTCTTATCTTACACATTTAATTCTTTTATTGTTATAAATACAAAATACTCATTTATCAAATTTAATCCAATAGTTTTTGGTAATTTTATTTAATCCATCAAGATAAATAATTTCTATTTTTATCTAATTAATTTTAGTAATTTTAATATTTATCAAATTCTTTAATTAAAGTTTCTAAATTAATACACTTATTATATTAAAATAAAACTTTGAATTGAATCATTATTATCAGATATTTATATAACTTAGATCATGTATAATATTAATTTAATTCTTATGTGAGTTCTTGATGTTCTCATAATTAATAGTAGATATTTTAAAAATATGTTAAAATTATCAAAGATTAATATAAGTTTAATTATTTTATAGTAAGAAAGAATTTAATTATTATTCTCATTCTATAATCCAATAACAATTAGTAATAGTTATTATATAAATCATCTATGGTATATTGAAGTAAATTAAAAATATTATAATTAAATACTTTGAAATTCGTTTTTAATATATATATATATATATATAAATAAATGAAGGTTATTATCATAACATTATTGCTAACTTTCAGCTTGGCAGCTCATTTCGATAAAAAAACAATTCATAAACATATTGAAGACTTGCATAAATCAAAATGGGGATAAACTTTGTTATCTATGATGGCATTACATTCATAATCATAAGGACCTGTTGATGAATTAGTTTAGGCAATAGAAGACTTAGTCTCTGATTTATAAGAAGAATTAGATGTTTTGGAATTTAATTTTGGATAAAGAACTAATGAACATCACAAAATTGTGACAACATTGGAATAAGAAATCAATTAAGCTGTTGTTGATTATCAAAGAACTTAAGACACTCTTGAAAACTTACTTTATCCAAGAAGAGAAAATCTAAAAAACAAAATTGAATAAATTTAAGATTATTAAGAGGCTAATAGGTATAAATATTAAATTACATTAATCTAGAAAGACTTTGGCTGAAGTATAATTAAAGAGAGAAAATGAGAAAGAAGAATTTGAAGCTCAACTTGCAGATTTTAATTCAGCTGTTGAATCAACAGATTAAGCTTTAGAATTACTTTACAGTTTAAGAAATTAATCTCTTGGATAAGTTTCATCATCAAATATTAGAAAAATTCATGTTCAATTAAATATGATTGAATAAAGAATTAGAGCTCATAGCAAACATGGACCATTAATAAAAGCTTTAATTTAATTAGCTAATGAATAAAATTTCTCAAATTAAGATATTGTTGGAACTATTTTAGATAAATTGAATGAATTTAGAAATGCTGTTGTAGATGCAATTAATGATGCCACAGCACAAGAAGCTGAAAATTAATAAGAATTTGAAGAAAGAGTAGAATAATTAGATCATGAATTTTCTGAATTTGGTAAATAAATTACTAAAATCACAGTTGATTTAGAAGCTACAATAAGTATATTATATATCTTATTATAATTAGCTAAAATTAATGATTTAACTGAATACTCTGCCTAAAGAGATGCAGATAGATAAAGATTCTAAGCCCAATTAAACATTGAAAATGATAGCTATGCTGAAGAAACTAAAATATATTAAGATATGAAAAATGAATATATCAGAGAATAAGAAGTTGCTGAATCAGCTGAAAAGGTTGTTAAAAGTGCTGATTTTTCGAATATTAAGATATGATAATTATTTTAATACGAAACTCAACAATAAAGAAAACATTATCCATAATCTTTACATCAAATATTTAATGCTAAATTGAAATGTTAAATATTCTTGCAAATTTTACATTTAAAATCTTGTTACAAAATTCATTTTTAGATTCTATTTAAAGAATTGATTTAAACATATCCATTATGCCATTAATGTATATGTCTCCACATCCATCCGTATCACTATACTTTTAATATCCAAAGTATCTATTTCATCACCATCTTTAATATTATAAAATCCATTTATTTATTATAAATTCTCCTATATATAATGAGTTTGCTCCTTTAATAAGATTAGAGTTTTTCTAAATCCATATACTTCAAATCCATATCTTCTGATTATGCTATTGACCTCAATATATTAAAAAGGTTAGTCTATGTTTAAGAATCACTTAAAATATATTTCTTAATTAACTTAGGTATTTTATAATTTTTAATTAAAACATTTGAACTCATTATCATTTTAAAATAAAAATATTATAAATCATTCTATTTATTAACCATCTTACCATTTGGAAATTTTAGGTTAATGATTAAATTACATAAGAACCGCAGTGCCATGGTTCAACCCATTAACAAATTCTCCAAAATAAGTAATTCCACTACTATATTTAAATACTCCAAACCCATTTTTTTTACTTTATTTATAAAATCCTTTATACTCTTCTAAATTAGGCCATATAAAGTTTCCAAACCCTTCCATTTCTCCATTCACCCATTCCCCTTTGTATTTTTTACTATCAGCATATTCCATAATTCCAAATCCATTGATTTAATCATTTTCAAATTATCCTTCATATTTAGTACCATCTTTCCAAGTATATATTCCTTTACCATGTCTTTTTCCATCTAGAACTGAACCTTCATATATGGCACCATTTGGAAATTCCAATTTTACTTTTTTTTAAATTTTAGTGTTTTTGCTGCAATTATCTTCAAAATCTTTAAACATACAATTATCTCCTAGAATTTTATCAGCAAAAAAATCTCCTTACTTATTGTATATATAAAATTTACATAATAAGATCCATCTTCATAAATAATTAAACCTTTTCCATGTTTGAGGCCACAACAAAATTAACCCTCATAATAATATTATTTTTTCTTGTAATATTTACAGTAACCAAATTTGAGTGACATAATTATTTTACCTTTGAACCATTCTTTAGAATCTTCTGATTAATAGACCTTTTCATTAACTTCTTTCTATATTAAAAGTTAATCCCTTACTGTTTTAATATGATTAGGCAAATAAAACTAAAACTAAGTAATCTAAATACGTTGTTAATAATTGTAGAGTGAGTTAAGCTTCTTTAGTTCTATGCTAAAATGGCTGATTTATTAGTTATAATTTCAGTTTTTGCATGTTCTTACTTCTTTAGATTTGATGATGATTCAATTGGCATTGTTTTTATATAACTGATTCTGTTATTTTACTCTATGTCTTTTGATTTCATTTTTTACACAATCTTTAAAAGCTAATTTAATAAATATCTACAAAGCATATTATTACTATCATTATAATAAAATTTATATGGACATCAAAGTTTGAAATCATTTCAAAAGATAAGGAATAATATTTTATTTTAGTTAAGATATAATTGAAATTCACTTTGGTTGATTAAATTTAAATCTTTTTGGGATTTCTTTGATTTTTTTTTCTGAAAAATCACGTTTAGTAACACTATCATATTAACCCAAGAAAGATGGAATATTTGGTATTGTTAAAGAAGTATCTAATGCTAGTTTTTTTGCTAACGATGGTTAAACTATTCTATGCTATTTAATTTTTATTGATTTGAAAAACCTATGTGATTCACTTAATCGAAATAGTGCTACATTTGGACTTATTGGATTACTATAGTTGTTAAATTACTTAAGAATTACTTAAATAAGCTTTTTCCTCCAAAAATGAGATCTCTATCTGGAGTCAAAGATTTATATTATCTTTAATATTCTGATGATGCATCCAATTTAGTACCTTCCATAATGGTTTAAGGATAATCTAATTTCATTTAATATGGTTCATCCACTAATAATAGATAAATATGAAATACAATGTGGTTTTTCATCATGCAATTTTTGATAAGTAGTATTATGAAAAAAGCCTTCTCTAATCCTTTTATTATCTGGAAGACATGCAGTTTATGGTCTTAATAAGTGATGAGTAGTTTTATCATAGTATTCTATCTAAATAAATGTTAATGCATATACTTATTTAGAAGATTCAAGCTTAAACATTGGATTTTTATCTTTGAATTCTTAAGGTGGATTTATTTTTTTGGCTTTACAATACTTTTTATTTTGGAATTCTGTGAAATATTCTGATAAATGTTAATTAGTAGAGATATGATTTTTCTCTATGGACAATTATCTAGGTGATTTATGTTAAATAATCATTATTATTGATAATTTTTAGACTAAATTGGAAAATACATATATATATTAGTATATCATTATATATATTTTATATTTAATTGTCTTTTCTTTAATAATTATGTAATTCAAAAAATCATAATTAGTTATTGATTACATGATTGTTTTAATATCTATCTAAACTATATTAATATTATATATTTTTTATGTAATAATTTTGGAAGATATTTAATAAGCATGTTTTGATATAAATATAATGAAAAAAAAGAAACAAATAAATTTAATAAATATATTAAGAAATATCTAATGAGCTCATAAGGATGTAGTTTTATTTAACATATTTAGAAAATACTAAATTATATACAATCTAATCGAACAATAGTTAAACATTTACAAATAAACCAAGAATGGTCAAATATTAAGTCTTAAGAAAATAAAATGGTTTAGGATCAAGAATCATTAGATAACTAGATCCTAATGTAGAAGAATAAATTATTGAAACTTGCAAGTCTCTTATGCCAACACGACCAGATACATAATAATCAAAATAAAAAAGTGGAACTTAAACTGTCTTAGAAAAACCAGAAACTCGAGAAAAAATGGCATCTAGACTTAGAACTCCAAAATCAGAAGGTTTATTAAGATTTAAGAGTCAAGAAAATTAAATTGAAGACTTTTAACCAATAAATTAATAATTCAATTATGTAGATGAAATTCCATTAGATCACCCTATTTGGAAATTAATTTTGCCAGATGTTTAAAGTGTTAATATTCCTAAACTTATTAATGATAATCCAGATTATTTCCATCATTAATTAGGTAAATTTATTCAATTAATTTATAGGATTTTGTGCTTGTTATAAATGTGAATGTGGTTAATGTAAATGCAATTTCTCTAAAACTTGTAAATTGAATTATTCATCCTCTCAAAATACTGTTTATGGAAAAGATTTTTTACATAAATAAACTGAATATAATGCTCTAAGACCATTAAATTAAACTTATTATTCAACTTAATTTTGTAATCAAAAACCTATTGATTAATAAAGTTTGCATTAAGTAAATTCAAATTTTTATTTAGACATCATATAAATAATTCAAAGTACCTGTATAAGAAATGCTTAGGCCATAATCTCAAGAGCATCGAGGAGATTTCTTAGGCAACAGTAGTTACAAAGTAACCTATTAAAAGTGAGATTTAGACTCAATTTAAATTTTGGGGACCACCAGAAACTGCTCATTTTAAAAGACCTGTTCATTAAAGTGTGAGTGATCAAATACCTTTCACAGCTTAATCTTTATATTAAGATTCATTTGCAAATAAACCTTATTAAAAACCTAGTGATTCATTAAAGATGGTTACTGAATTGTAATAAATTTAAATATATAATATAAAGAACACCTTTACCTACTGGATAACCTTTTGTCTCATAATCATAAACATAATTGGCATATCAACCATTCAGAATTTAAAAGAATCCTAAATTAAATAGTGATAAAATTAATGATTATGGAAGAAGTCCAAAATATGATACTCAATATAAAAGTCTTGTGAATACAGAATACACTCCAAAAAGACAAAGATATTGTCCAGCAAAGGAATACATAGCTCATTATTAATAAAGAGCATTATAAAAATTAAAATAATAATAATGAAATAAAATTAATCAGTCTTGAAAGATTCTTATATGGTATTTGTAAATTATTCAGTTTATAGTTTTTTATAGTTTTCTTGTTTCTATTTTATAAAAATATTTATATTTAAATATTAAGATTGCATATTCATTTCAATTCTAATTGAATTTTTGTATAATATATAAATATGAAGTTTTTATAAAGATTTGAATTAATTTAACTTTAAAAACCATTTTTAAGATCTTATGTATAATTTAATCTTTTTTTAAATTTTATTTTACAATCTAATTATAATTAAAGTATTTACTTATTTTATATGAAACTAATCAAGTTTGATAAATTTGACAAGCCTTGTCTTTATTCTTAACATGAAATCAAATTAATAACTAATTTTACAAGAACTCCTAAAACATGTCATTCTTAAACATAAATTACATTCAAATCATCACCTAATAATTCTAAAAAAAATAGTATTCATCAATAATCAACTCATATAATGCATCAAAAAAGCTAATTCTCTCAAACATAAAAATCATAGAATCAAATATTATCATAATAAAATACAATCGAAACAATCTAAGAGTGTATTTCAATTCTTTCTGACTTGAAATAAACTTCCTTTTTACTTTTTCCTAATAAATAATTAACCTAAAAATCTAAAGAGAAAATGGATCAATTATTAGACATTGTTGATTAAATGGTACCATAAGAAAGTAATGAAGAAAAGAAAAAACTGAATATACTGAATTAAGATAAAATATAATAAATGATGAAGCTACTCATGCAAGAAAAACAATAAAAATATTAAGCAATTAAATCTGGAGAAAGCTTGATCAAATAATAATAAGAATAAATTTTATCCTTAGTAAATATTACTTATATATTATTTTCTAGAAAACAAGAATATCTTTATATGTTACCAAGTCATGATGATATATGGATGTAATATATTCAAATTATAGTTTCTCTTCTACTATCATAATATACTGTCTTATTTAACAATTTACTTAATTTGGTCTTTTTTTGTTTTTAATTACCCAATTTGAATGGTGAATCTACTGATGTTGATATTCTTGGAGTGTTTATTCTAACTGTATTGTTTTATACTAACTAAACTTATTGATCATATATAGATTTTCCATATTCTAACATTCTTCTATCTAACAAGAGAATTAGATTTGTGAGATCTTTTTCTTTACTTTCTGAAGGAATTTAGGATGTTTCACAAAATTCTTATACTACATCCAATATTCTTTTTAATTGATCGAAAGATATTTTTGATGTTTTTTCAAGAGATGATACTTTTGTTAATAATATTGCCACTTTGTTTGGTAAATCAGATTAAATTTAATTTTTTTCCCTTTTTTATTTGATTAAATATTTACGATTACTGAAGAAGTGCAATATTTTTAAGCATTGACTTGATAATTTATTTCTTTTTAACTAATTCAGCAGATATTAAATCAAATTATTCATTTACACCATTTTAAAATTAAGTTTAGGCTATTTCAGATTTTTAAAATTATTCTTTCATTAATTATAATTAATCTTAAAAGCATTATTGTCTATTTTTAAAATATGTAAGTTCTTCATCAACCTTTTTAAATGCTGTATGAATTTCAAATTTAACAACTTTAGAATTATTAACTTCCAATTCTTAAAATAGTTAAGATAATGATTTTACTTTATTTTGTACTATTTCATTTTCTATAAATACTTAATAAGTATTATACCTGATTTTTATTCATAAATTAAGTTCTTCATTTTTTCAACTTCTTTTTCGAATTCATATATTTTATATTATTCTTTTTCGAGATTATCAATTTTTTATGTCAACTATTCATTTTATTACTTAATCATTTATCTATTATCTCTATTAAGTTTATGTAATGTTTAAGAATCTTATTTCATTAAACTAGTAGATTACTATATTTAAGTAATTGCTTATTTAATATCAATCTAATTATAAAAATTAAATTAAATACAATATGCTATTCTGTATATAGTTTAAGAGCATATTTAGTTTAGAATTATTGAATTTAATCTTACAATTTATTAATTCTCTCTTCAGAATTAGATTTGAATTGACGTATATCAGTTTTAGTTAAATAAATATCCTACACATAAGATTTGAAATCATTAAGCTTTTCACTTTAATTAAATATAAGTTAGTCCAATTATTTTTTAACTTCATATGTTTCTTATTGAACATTTGTTTCAATTAATTCTAAAAATAATAATGTTTTTATAACCTATAAGATTATTGTCTTGTTATTATTTTTCTCTAGAGAACTTAAGTTCAATTTCTTATAAATCCTTATAATTAGGAAAGAATTGATTATTATTATTAACACTAATATAGATGCAATTACTATTATATTCCTTATCTAAACATTTTTCTAGAATCTCTCGTTGTTGATTACAATTATAATTATGAATCTTAAATACTTATTAGAAAGCATCTAAAATCTCATTAAATTTCAACAGTGTTGTAATAATTATTTCTTACATAATGTTATTTATATTAATATTAAATGATCATAAGAAATAGTCTGCAATAACTTTTTTTGAATTTGATGCTCTATCTGTTGGAGCAGCCTCAAATAATTTGTAATATTTCTTAAGGTTCTCATCCAACTCAAGAATAGAAGCAACATTGCCACATCTATATATATATAATTAATTAAAAAATAAACCTATAACAATAATTTGGAGCAGACCAAACAGTGACTAATGAATTGTCAAACATTAATTTAAATCCTTCCATAGCTAATTAATGTGCTCTACAAATTAAAGAAATGCCATTTCTACGATTAAATTCTTTTACAACATCAGCACCAAATACAAAACCTGCACCTCTGGCACTTTAACTCCATCCTTCAATTTCTATAACATTATATATTATAATTAACCATCAGGATCTGACCACATTAAATCACACATAACTCCTTCATGAGGTACTTCCTATTTTCTATTGATTATTCTAATTTCATCTATTGTTTTGATATAAGGACTCAAACCACCATGAACGCAGAATATATTATCATTAATCACTGCTGCCAAAGCCAAATAATCAAAAACTTCAGTGCAATACTTCCAAACATTCAAAGTACTATATTTTCTTAAACATTCATCATAGAATCCATAAACTTAAGTTATTTATCTTGATTCATGATTTCCTCGTATTCTATAATGATATTTAATATCATACAATGTAATTTAATCAGGATATCTCACTTTCAAAGCCAATAATAATAAAAATGTCTCAACACTATTATATCCTCTATCTACAAAATCTCCCAAAAATAAGTAATTAGTCTCTGGTACATCTCCTCCTACTTTAAATAATTCCATTAAGTCATAAAATTATCCATGAATATCTCCACAAATCTAAATAATAATAATAATTAAATTACAGTCACTGGAGCTTCAACTCTTATTACATTATCTTCATTATTAAGTATATCTTTAGCTTTGTTACATAATATTTTGACATCTGTTTCTTTTAGATTTTCTCCATTTTTTAAAGTCTCTATCCATTAATCAATATCTGACATTATATAAGAAGAATTTTTTATTTTTTTTTTTGATAAATTATATTTTATATTGAATTTTAAATCATAATAACTATTTTAATTTAATTTCTTGTAATCTCTATCTTAAACAATTTACAACTTTTGAACTACTCTTAGTTATTTTTGGTTATGAAAATAATTCTTATTCAGATGCTTCAGTTCTTTAAGTCATAGAACCATTCTTTTTTTAATTACCACATTATTAAATTTTATCATCATTCAAATGTACTTTATACATAGATTAAGAACGATTAGAAAATGATCTATTTGTTAATTGTTTTAATACAGATCCTCCTCTACTCTATCTTTAAGTAGAGAGTTCTTATGATTAATTATGATTATTATTATTGTTTAAAAGTTATTTAACATTAATATTTGTTGTTATGTTACTTCTAGCTGATTTCATTTATGTAAAAAGTGGTTATATATGTTATTTAGAGTTTGAAACATTAGAAGTAACACTTATATTATGAGCTCTATTTGAAACTAAACTATTTAAATTAAGATATAAGCTTGATTTATTTAAATTATCATTTTATTAACTTTAATTTATTGCTTATCCTTCTAAATTACTTTAACATCGATGATGTTTTATTATTTGATTGAATGTTAATCGAAATTCTTTAATTCTATTCCATAATCTAAATTAATCATCTTCTTATCTCATATATTAATCTTTAATGAATTTAATCTCTGTACACCATAAGAAAATAGGTTTATCTTATAGACACATTATGATATTCATTTCACTTAATTATCCTCTAACTTAATAGATTTATTGGATTCTTTGAACCAATGATTAACTTAAAATATTTATTTAAGATCTATAATGTGGGGTCAATTTCAAGCATTATTAATTGACTTAATATGAATATGAATCACATTCCTAAATAAATGTATAATTTTTATTCCATTTTAATGAAATATATTATCCTAATTAAAAATGTTCCTACAAAATAATAGGGTTCTCAATAATATGAGGGTATGTTTGATAATGTATTAATAATTATTATATTTATTCAATTGTTATTGGTTCATTTTTCAATTAAATTTAACCAAATCCTTCAACAACATATGGTGATTATATTGTTATAATGTTCATTTGTATGTTATTTTATTTTAGATAGCTTATAATTGATGTTGTAGTACAGTTTATAGATTTTCGTTTAAGGATTTTATTATTTTATGAAAAGTACCATTGAATTTTGAATCCCTAATTTATGATAATAGTTTAAGGTATATGGATAGAAAGTTGAAAAGGATTGGATTGTTAGGCATTCCAAAGCTCATTTATTAACGTATACATTTATTTATATAATGAATATAATAATTAAAAAATAAAATTGATATAACAATCAATCCTAGCTACTAGCTTATATTTAATCATCTCTATTATTAGAATCTTAAAGTTATTATTGTGATTCTATTTTTGATTCTTGTAATTATTATTGTGATTCAATTTTTAAATTAGATTCTTGTGATTATTATTATTAATTATTATTATCATTTTCTGAAATTTACTATTGTTATTATTATTATTAAGTATCCTTCTATTGTTCTTTCATTTTTCTACGAACAATATTATTCTAATTATATATAATAAATATTAATACATTAATTAAATACTTAGAATAAGGATTGAATTTCTAATGATGAGATCTACATTAAGAAGGTGATCGACTTTTAATTATATCAGACATCAATTTGAAAATTTTATTAGTTTTTTTTAATTCAGAACTTTCCATTACTTCTCTATGTTATTATAAGAAATTCAAATAAACTTAATGTTCTTATGCACTCCAATGTCCTAATAATAATAAATAATATAAATACCTGTATTAAATTATGGATTATGTGTTTTTTTAATATGTTTTCTTTTAATTTTATTATCACCTAAATCCTTTGTTTGACTCTAGTTAACATTTTCAACTCCCTACTTTATATTAAGATGATACTTAGAATTAATTTAGTAGAGCTGCATTAATCATAAGTTATTGTTAGAGAAGTTATTAAGTGAATAAATCAACCACTCTAGGTTCATCAGCAATGAGTGGTAGATTATTCATCTAAGAGTATAATTGAGCTTATAGCTTCAATTATTCTAATTGAACAGTTTAAAGTAGAAGATCAGGATTCTAGAACATCTATGTAAATTGGGGTAAGAAAAATTAGGAGTCAATCTCTTGTTTGTTGCTTTCTAATAATATAATATTATTTATTACAAATACAAGGAGAATTTTCTTCAATAAGAGGAACAATACAATCTTTGGATGATTAGTTTAGACGATCCATTATATATTTTTTAAATTTTAATTAAGATTTATATATCTGATTCAGATATTAGAAATGAATTTAATTCTCTCTTTATATATTATTATTATATTAAATCATTCAAATTTTCTAACAAACCATTACAGACACATCACACCAACTTCCCAAAAATAGATTATCTCCACTAACCAATCCTCCAGCAAGTCCCTTAGACAAATATCTATTCTAAGATATGATTCTTAATTAATCTTTGTTTAAATCATATACACCTATTGCACCCCAATACTCAAAATTAGTTTATCTATCTAAATCGTTATTCTTAACAAAATGATCCAATTAAAAATAATTATATAATTTTGGAATCAACCCAATTACTAATGAATTGCTCTCCTCTTAATATTCTATATTGTCTACTCCATTCTAAACTGGAACAAATCTCTTAAATATCAATTCATCACCTTTCATCTAATATTCAGTAAATCCCTTCTCAACTGAATCTGCTACCCAAACTAAATCCTTTTTATTCCAAGTTAATCCATTTCTCATTATTCCTGATGTATTGGGTATTTATTTACATATAGGTTGAATTAAAGTATTCCCTTTTGTAAATCTACAATCCAATATATATGTTGTCTTCTATTTTGTCAATTAGTAAAATAAGGTTTTTAAGATATGCATAGCATCGGCTGTATGTCTACCTTATTTAGGATCAGGTAATGGCATATAAGTTGTAATTAAAAAACGATTATCCTCTATCACAATCAAATCATTCAAAATTCCTGTATACTATTCATCCATAATAATTGAGTGAACATAAGTTAATTCTAATTATTCATCTATTTTGAACACTTCAATTCTTTCACCTCCATTATGATAAGCATGATTTATTACAAATAAATAATTTCCATCTTTCTATTTCCTTAAATATATTCCATGAATATATAAAGCCACATCTTTTGGAAAGTTTTTCAACTAAAGTTTTATAACACTATAGTGCTTTTTATTAGAATTTATAATTGCATAAATTCCTTATTATTCTAACTCTGGTTTTCCTCTAGCATAAACTTTTTAGAAATTTCCTGAACCTATTATTATTGTTGTGGAATTAAATTAAGTCATATCTTCTGGTCCTCTTATATCCTCCTTTAAGTATTTACAATTTCCATATTCATTGTAACTCCCTACAGGTTTGAAAAAATCTAAGTCTGTTGCTATTTTAAAGAAGATTGCAAAAATTACTCCAACAAAAATAAACAAAACTTTCATTTTAATTTTAATATATATTATCAATTATTTAATACTCAAGTTTTGATTAAATATCAATCATATGATTTGAGTTATATTGTAAAAAGAATTTATTTTAATTCAAACTATATTTAAAAATAGTCAACTCATATATAATATTTTTAAAATATAAAAACATTAAAATAACATAAAAATTCTTTAAATATAAAATAGAGTAAAGAGATCGAAAATATTTATAATTATTATATATATATTAATAGAAAACTGTTATATTATAATTAAATTTAATTAGAATTATATTTATAATTAAGCTGTCTTGTTATATTAAGAATATATTATTCAAAGGTTAATTAGAGTAACCTAAAATTATTATTTTATGAAATTGAAAATATTATTAATCACATTATTTATACTTATCAAATCAATATTATTTATAAATCACTAGACATATTCATTCATTTATATAAACTAAAATAATTATTATTATATTTAAAATTTGATTAATATTTAATTGATTTTAAATTCTTTAACTCATTACTTTAATGTTTAAGGAGCATTGCCTACTTTAACAACACATCTATATTTTGGTCTTCCATTTAATAATTTATCATATGCAGTTTTGAAATTCTCAAATTCATATTCTTCACAAGTTGGATATATTTTATGTTTATTTGCAAATTCGATCATTTCATAGTTTTCCTATAAAAAAATATAATATATTATAATACTTATCTTGATCCAACTAAAGATCCAACAAATGATATCTATCTACATACCAATGAATAGAATGGCAATTATAACTCAACTTTAGTAAGAGCAGGTATACCAACCATAATAAAATCTCCTCCATTTTTTAATAATTTAGTTTAATCTATAAATTCTTCAACAGTACTAGCATGGGCACAACTCAATATTATATCAAATCTTCCTGAAGCCTTAGCCATTTCTTCTGGGTTTTTAGAAACAATAAAATCAATAGCTCCATATGATTTTGCCTCTTATTCCTTATCTGGAGAAGTAGATATGGCAGAAGTTCTCATTCCCATAGCAGCAGAGAATTTGATAGCTAAATGCCCTAATCCCCCAATACCAATTATAGCAACCTCCTTGTTTGGATTGAAATATCTTTTTAAAGGAGCAAAGACTGTAATACCAGCACATAAAAGAGGTGGAGCTAAATGTTATGGGATAGTATTTGGAATAGGAAAAGCCCATTTAGCTGGGAATTATACATGTGTTGCGAATCCACCAAATTTAGGTAAAGGGATAAAATGTTCATCACCCTTTTGTCCACAAAGTTAATCATTTCCTTAAATACATAATTTACAGTTTCCACAACTATCTCTTATGAATCCTGCACCAACTAAATCACCAATTTAGAATTGTGTAACTTAGTCACCTTTCATTACGACATGACCTAATATCTCATGTCCTGGAACACTTGGATAATTGATTGGAAACCAATCTTAATTAACAAGATGACCTTTTTGATATTGATTTCACATTTACAATCAGTGTAACATAGTCCAAAATAAGTTTATTGAATTCTCACTTCGTGTGGTTGGATTGGTGGAAATACAAAAGGATAAAGAAGAGCTTCTGTATTTGGTCCTTCAAATGACCATGCAAATGCTTCTGCTTATTCTTTTGTGACTAATTTATAAAGAGAATGTTCCTTTGTGGCCATCGATTATTATTTATATTGGATCATTAATGAACTTATCATCTTGAATATTTTAAATGTTCATGAATCACTTACAAAAAAGAAATTTATTTTTATATTACATTGTAAATTATAATTTTAATATAATCTGGATTTAATGATTTATACATAATATATATATCTCTATGGAATATTTGTATTCAAAATTAAAATAGGAAGAATTATAGAATAATTATATAAAAAAATATTAAATTCTCAATTTTCTATTTAATTGATGTTTTCTATTATATTTATGTAATTATAATTAATAGTAAATTATTAAATGTAAGCAGGTAAAGTATATCCAATTCCAAATAACCTTAAAAACCAAAATAAAGAGTTAGAAAAATATGATTATATGTAGTGTGTGGGATCAAATTTTGAATTTACTTTATTAGTATCAATGCTTGATTGTTTTTTAGCTAATGAAAACATAAATAAGATTTAAATGTTGGTAACACCATAGAGAACTTATACATATTCCTCACAACAAATCGTTTAAAAAATATAAAATTTCATTATAAAGGAGAGAAACTTATTAACATTCTATCAATCAGTGTAAAATAGTGATCCTTAATTTAAAAAAGCAAATTAATTCCTTGATGAATTTTGCAATAATTATGAATAACCTTAGAGTTAATAATTAAAACAGAAAATCATTATTTTAACCAAAATATTTTAAGTTTCATTTTATATTTTTGGGCAGTTGATAAGGAAAGTTGAAAATAGTAATACGTGGATTTTAATTTATTAAAATTAGAAACAGCTATATTATTATGTTAAATAGTTTTATGAAGATTTCAAACCAAAAATACATACAATACATTTCTAAAAATTGAAATAATCAGATGTTTTATATGAAAATTATCAGACCTCATAGAATAATAATATTGATTACAAAAATTCCACATATTAAATAGTTAAAAAGAGAGTAATTGAGGAATCTAAAGATGATGAAAGATAGATTACAGAATCATAATAAGATTTATCTAAAAGGACATTTTAAAAATAGATTTTTGGAGATTAAATTGAAAATCAATAATATAAAGATGATCCGAAAAATTCAATTTAATTTTGTATGAATTGCTATGATAGACCATAAACTCCACTTTTTATTAATAAAAATTGCGGTCATTCATTTTGTGCAAAATGTATAGAAAATATAACAAATCTTGAAAAGTGCTACTTTTAATGTTTAAAATAAAATTGTACATAATTAATAGATTCAATATCTGCATTTTATTACTGTCAAAATATTTCTACATTTAGAAAAGAAAAGATAATATAATTAGAATTTAAAAAATGTAATGGTTGTGGTATTACTAATATTTTAAAAAGCAAATAATTTCAAAATGATTGCTAACATACATTTTGTATAGATTGCTCTATAATATTTACAAAATAAAGTTGTTAAGATAAAATTCCATGTTCATACTTTGGGTGTCCTTATAACATAAATTATCAAAATTTGAATAAATATCTAAAATAATAATAAATTAAGTTTGAGTGTTCTAAATGCTAATTAGAAATATATAGAGAAAATTTGTATTTAAATGAAACATGTGCTCATTATTTATGTATCCCTTGTTTAGATGAATTGATATTGAAAAACAAGAATAATAACACTATCTAATATTTGTGTCCAGTTCATGAATGCGATAAAGTGTTAAATCAACCTAAATTTTCTTAATTTTTGTGTGAAAACTAATCTAAACTACTAAATAATTCATCAAATATCTAATTTTAATTATAAGAATAATAAGATATTTATTAAGTTAATTAAATCTAACCCACATTTCAAATTAAGAAATACTATAATGATGATAAAAATATGGGTATTATGATGAATTATTAAGAAGAGAAATAAATTTAGAATTAAAATTAATGTTCTTTGTGCTTTAAAGATTTTTCTTCTAATCAACAACTTAAGAAATTAGATTGTCTAATTCATTAAATAGGAGATTGTTGTTTTTCAAAGTATTAACAATGACCTTTGTGTGCTAAGAATCAATAATCTTTTTTTTTAATATGATAATTAGGTATCAAAATTTTCTAATTTGATTATTTGTTCTGTTCTCCTCACTTAAATTAATAATACTTTCAATTCAATTATATTATGTTATGATTCTTATCTACTTAAAATATCAAAAGATTAATCCATTAAATTTCATTAGCTTTTACTTTCTTTCTTAAATATTTGTCTGAAATAGATTTATTAGTATAGAATTATGAATTTTTTTTAAGATAAATTATTATGCCTTTGGAAAAATTATTAAACGATCATCAAATATATATTAAATTAAATTTAATAGAGTTTATAAAAAATAATGATTATTTATATAGATTTTTAAAAATATGAATATTTAAATTATTAACATAGATTCAATTTTAAACTTGATATTAATTTTAAGGAGTTACAGTTTCAAATTCAATTTATATCTACTCTTTAAATTTTGGTTAATGCTATATTTCATCTTTTACTTACTAATTATATATTAACAAATAAAAATCTTCATCTGATAATTTTTAATCATCATCATTAAGTCCTTCATTTTCAATCATCTTACCTAAAAATAAACTTTATGATTAGTTTAGTTATTACATTTAAATGGAATTTTATCGTATTTCAATAGAAACTTAAGGATTCTATAAAAATTAATGGCAATTTTACAATCTTCATAATTTTCATTTCTTCAATTGAATTGCTTTCTATATTTTCTATTTTCAATTCTTATGGAATAATATTATCTATTTTTATTATATTAGGTTTTTTATTTTTATCTGGCTCTTGTTCTAAATCCAATAATTTTAATCGTATTCCAACATCATGACATTCTCTAAATATTTATTTATCACATATCTATGTTAATATAAATTATAATCTTGAGATTTCATATAATTAATTTGTTAGACATAATTTAGCTTAAGCAATCTTCAAAAATTTATTATAAGTTTCTAAAAAAGATAAAGAAAGTTTTGAGTTTTTATATAAAATTTAATATACTTTTCCAAAACAATTTTTTTTAAATGTAATATCTTTGATTTAAGGATAATACATTTCAATTAATGTTCTTAATACCTTTAGTTCTAAATTCTTTTCATTTATCATGTATGCTATATGAGAAAAGAATAAAAAGAAAGAAATAATTGATCCAATATTGGCCAATACTTCAGATACTTTAGGATATTCTACAAACACAGTTTATTATAAGGTACCTAATTCAAATTCAAAAGCTATAAATATTTTATTTTAAAAAGAATGAGCAAAATAATCTAAGTCCATTTATTAGATATAAGATTATAATGAACTTGGAAATTCAAGGATCTCTAAACTTTCTAATAAAAATCCTGTATCTAATGTAATATTAGTAGAACCAACAACAATTTAACTAAAATATGTAGTTTTATTATCAAAGGAAGCATAATAATCTTGTTCAACAATATCAATTTTTTTCGTTGAAGTATTATATTAATTTACAAATGTTTATATTTATAATTAATTCTGTTTTTGATTAAAGAAGTGTTTAATTCTATCTTCATCAGCACATTGCCAACCTTCAGGTAAAAGATTCTAAACACATTCCTAGAATATCAAAAAATATTCTTTATTTGGATGATCTTCAGATTCATGTTCATTATTAGATAATTCTATATTTTTGACTTCAATTAAATAAGTCCCATGTTTTTCTGATTTTTTAGTTGATAATAAAGTTTAAGGTTCTTAAAATTCATCATTTAAGATTTCATATAATAATGGCAATAAAATTACATTGTTGGGATCAAATGGATCAATTTAATTATGAATACTAGTATGTTTTCTCAAACAAAAAGAGGCTATAGTTACTTTATCAAATTAAAGAGAATAAGTTTCAATTTCTGTTTACAAACTTGTTATTTTTGGTAAAATTTTTCCAGATTTCCATAAAATTAATTCATAGATTAAGTAAGCTAAACTTAATCCATAAAGCACTATAGATAGCAACCCCCCTAAACTTGTTTTGAATTAAACTTCTCCATGAGCATAACTTGGTTTGTAACTTGCACCAAATTGATCTATACGCCTTAAGAATTCAGCAATACTATTTAACATTAATAATTTACCTTAATAATCAATACTCTTAATCAGTTATTAATTTGATGACATAATCAAAGGATTTATATTAATGTGATTTATAAATTTACGTCATTTAAATGTAATTATAAAATCATAACTTAATATTTCGATATTATTAATATAAACTATAATAATAATAATTTTAATCATTTATAAATATTTATATCATATTCAAAAAAAACTGATTTAATCAAATATTCTTGATTTCTCGATATACAAAATATAAACTAAGTTCAAAACAAATATGTAACTTATCTTATTTTATGAAATTTATTCCTATAAATTAAAGATATTTAATATAAAAAATAGCAAATATCCTGCAAATTAAAATAAGTATTTGTTATTTGCAAACTACTTCTTCATAATTGGTAATCCCCAACATAATAGACATAATCCATTCAATCCAAAGTAGTAAAGTAGAGACATTGCAGAGATAGGAAATACAATCCAAGTTAATTATTGTCTAAATAAATAACATACAATAACTACAGCAATTATACCTTCCCACATTACTGCACTTATGTATATTTATATAGATAATTCAAAAATTTCAGCAATTAAACAATGTAAATGATACCAAATGAAAAGTGAGACAGTAGATATAATTACTTCTAAAGTCCCTTTTTTATATATTTAATAATATAAGTGAGAAAATCCATAACAAAAATAAACTATTCCAACTACAAATCCGAATGGAATTGAATTTGCTAATATAACAAAGGTAAACCATTTAAATGGTAATGAGAATAAAAACAAGACTGAATTTAAAAATCCAATTGTTTATAAGAGTGACATTATCATATAACTAAAAATACCCATTTTTGTTGCATATGAAAAACTGCAAAGTCTTAACATATGTCCGTTCCATCTAGATTTACAATACCAACAAAATTAATGTTGACAAGCTTTACATGTCATGTGTTGACAACCTCCATTTCTTTAAATTTAAACTCCACATTGAGGACATTCATTGGTAAATAAAAAACAATATATGAAATCCTTGATATTAAAATACATATTTGAAAACCCATATTCTAACTGAACTACCTAAGATGATATTGATATATCCAACCACTTTGTCTAACATGATGTACATTACAATAATTAATCACATCTGGAATTTAAATCAATAAATCCGAAATTCCTACATCTACCATTAGGACATGGTCTGATGTCTTAATTTTTTAAATACTCTTTTAGTAGGATTTCAGAGAGTTATTATTCGTAAAGTGGATATTTACAAATATTTTAGAGTTCTTATCTTGAGTAGTTATAAGAGCAATGTTAGTTAGGACAATTGAAATTAATTATTTAGGTTTCATTGTTTTTAATTCCAAACCAATTTATTAAACAAGGAATACAATTTTAGCAATTGCAAGGAGTTATAAATGATTCATTTGTAAAACAAATTTGACAAACTTTCATTTAATTTGACAAATTAATAATATTTTAAATCCAAAATTTTATATAAATAGTCAAAGAATATCGTAATATTGAAGCACTTATGCTAAAGAATCCTTTTTAACTGGTTTAGAGATGTAATAATCAATTCCATTTTAATAACATTATTCTTTTGTTTCATTATCAGTAAATGCAGTACAAGCAATTATAGAGATTGAACATTTCTTTTTTATTTGTCTAGATGCCTCCCATCCATCTAAAAGAGGCATATTTATATCCATAAAAATAAGTTGATATTATTTATCACTACATTTACTACAATATGCTATATATATCAAAAAAATATACTTTTTTTTTAATTTGAAAATATCAAATCTACACATTCCTTTCCATTAAATACTTAATCTGAAGTTAAATTGAATTACTCTAATAAAATAGATAATGCCATAATATTAATTTATTCATCATCTGCAATTAAAATTGATGGACAACGACAATCTAAATTTTATTAATTAACTTTTATTTAGCATTATTATTATTATTATTATTATTATTATTATTATTATTATTAGCTAGATGTTTTAATATACTTAATCCTATTTTAATATTCATCAATTGAACATTCCTTATTGACTGAATCTTCAGAAACAGCATCAATTAATTTTTAAACTAATTTAAGTTTATTATGAGGTCTTCTTTCTCGTATTAAATTTTACTCACTATAAGGTACTTTATTATTGAGTAAATGTGAGAATTTAGATCTCATTTGAGTCATTCGTAGATGTTCAACACCAGCATTTACTTAGGTTTGTCTTGTGTCAATAATAACTTTTTTATTTAATAATACCAAAGGACTTCTTGGATTATTTGGTTTTATAGAAGGACTTACAATTTAATGGTAAACAGAAAACCAACAATGAAATCCTTTACCAGTTTAAGTTTCAAATCTCAATCCTCCACCTTTTTCATATCTTTATTAAGATAATGCTTCTGCAATTTTATTACTAATAAATAAACCTAATCCAAAACCAGCAGTATTTTTTGAGATCTTTGAAATAGATGGTACTCCTGATTATAATAATAATGTTAAACGTTCCTATTCCTCTTTTGTCATTCCTATTCCTGTATCTTAAACATGAAATATTATTTCTTAATGTTTTTAATTTAAAATTTAATTTTCCGCTCTTATTCTTATGCTACCATGAAGTGTAAATTTTTATGCATTAGACAAAAGATTAATTAATATTTATTTAATTCTATTCTTATCTGATAAGATTTCTGTAACTTATAGATTGTTTTCAAATTCAATATCAAGATTCTTTTTCTTTATTTGATCCTTGAAAAGAGATATTACTTCTAAAATAAGTTCTTAAATATTAAAATGAGAAACCTCTAAACTAAATGTTTTACCTAAAATACTGTTATAATCCATCATATCCAATACCATACTATGCATAACTTTTCCATTTGCTAATATTGGTTTAAAAAATTATTCTTAAATATATTTTGGTACTTGCTTATGACATTCAGCAACTTAAGCCAAAGCAAGAATATAATTTAATGATGTATTATATTCATGACTAAAGCTTTTAAATAATTATTGCATTGTTGTTTATGTAAATACTTTTTTAATCTATAATTTGTATTCACCTACATTTTATAATACAATTGTGAAGGATTTACAATCAAAAATAAAGATTTTTAAATAAAAGTCATTATATCCTTTTATACAAAAAACTTCAAATTCATATGGATATTTTTAAATTTATTTAATTTATTCCAAGAGTTCTTTTAAAGTATAACTATTTTAAAGTTCTTTTAAATCTTAAATTGAAGGGAATTTACAACTAAATTAATCTTATAACAATGATTTGGTCTATTTGTCTATTGAAATCACAGGACTTTCTAAAATATATTAAATTTTTATGTTTTTTAGTATATTATGAGCTCTCGAATTGCACATAATAATGTTATATGTCCAATCAAATTTGATTATGCCTACCAAATTATTTTGCATTTCCTATAAACGATCTGAATCAGAATTTGTTCTAATGTGTATTGTATCCTCAAAGTCAGTATCATTTCGTTTTAATTATTTGTCTTGCTCTTTTGGGATAACTAAAGAGAATAAGATTAGAATAAATATTATAACAATTGGTTAACCATTATTTAAATTTTGAATGACTTTCCAAACACATAATGAAACAAAGTGTAATACTTTACAGATGATGAAATAATATCTCTTAGTTTCATTTCTATTTAAGCTATCATATATTTAAATCGGCAGTAGGAATAGAAAAAGTCTTTCTTAATTCGCTGCAGATATAATAACTATGATATGAAAAATACATACTTACAACATTCAACATTAAGAGTAATATTGGAACTAAAATACATAATGATTCTCTAGTTTTTTGTAAATATTGAACTGAAAGGAAACAAAGTATTATTACAAACTCAATACCATGGTAAAATAGCTGTCTCTATCATATTAATATTGTACTCAATCCCAAGCACCATTTCATAAATTGTGTTACAAAGCCACATGCTACTATATAAAAAAGCCAATATCATTTAATATAAAAATAATGTATTATCAAAAATATTAGAACACCAAGGATGATTAATACAATTGCACTGATTATTGAATATTTGAAGCATTTTTTGTCACTTTTTTAAAATGTGACTAGTTAATCAATTTCTTGATTATATTTTTCTAAATTCTCCTATTCAACAATCATATTTTAATATTCTATATATTCTTAATTTAATTATTATACAACTTATTCTTCAATTTCTTTTGTATCCTTATCATTAGAGTCTCTTTTCTCTTAGAATTATTCATTTTCTAATTCAAGAAGTGGTTATTTTAAAGATAATGATAATCCACTTTATTTCTTTGATGGAACATTTAATATTTAATTATCTATTGGAAGACTATTTGGTATTGAATTTGATGAAAGTTTGAGTTTAGATTGACTTTTCTGTAATTCATTCATTTAATTTTCTTAAAGAAATTATGATTCTTGCATTGACAATCTATCAAATTGTTCAGAAATTGATTATTTAATAAGTTATTTAATAATGACTTTGTGTTGTTCCTCATATTTGATAACTTTTTATTTTAATTGTTTAAGTTGGAATTTTTAATCTCTATTTGCAGTTTCTTCAAGAGTGGCAATGATCTATTTAATATCCTACAATTCTAATTTCATGTCTGACTTGATTTCTTTCAATTATTCTTATCTTTCAAGCTTACATAGTAATTTACTTAATCATTTAATATTGCATAAGATTTTCATTCTATTTCTAGATTTACAATATACGATTGTCTAACAATTTCTTTTGTGTTTCAAAGTTAGTTTCAAAGTCTTCAAAATCAAAACTCGTTTAGATTCAGAATATTTAATATTAATAATATTTTAAAATATTATATAGATATTAATATCATTTAGCTGATTCTATATAGGGGCTGTTGATTTCACTTGTTTAACTTAATGAAACTTGCTGTCTATTAAAAATTTGTATTAAAGAAGTCTTGTTGCTGTTAATGTTAAGATCACTCTGATATACAGTAAGATCAGGTGGAGTGCAAAATTAATTATAAGATTCTCTAGAAGTATTTGACATGATGCTTTAAGGTTCACGTTAGGCAATCTCAGAACTTGAATAACAATAATATGAATCTGAACTTTATTCACTGAATTCTTAAGGTTTTTTTAAAGCTTTTTCTTGAGCCTTTTCTGAGAATCTCTTAAATGCTTTGAAACACATCATCACATATAACAATTATACACAAGGATTCACTCCATTGATATAAATTCTATTTTTTCTAATTCTTTATAAAGTTTATTCTTCTTGTTGTTTAATTTTAGATTTAGCTTCTTTGGTGGTTTTTTACATAAATTATTGTTGGAACATTTTCATAATGGTAAAGAAGACATAATGATATTCCAATTCTCCATCATCTGTGGCTGTCATTTCCATAGTCATGATCATAGTGGCAACTTTCTTTTTAGAATCTGCTGTTACTATATTAATGATTCTATCAATATTCTATTGAGTTTATTTAACCTCTTAATTAAATTTCTTCCAATCATCCAAAGCTAGTAAAATCTTTTCATTTAAATCATAGCCAAGAGGAGATTTGATTGTTAAAACCAGACTGATCAATTATTTAACTTTGATATAATTTCCACCATATTATTTAGACAATGGTGCCCATCCATCAATAAAATCTTATTCAAATTCTTTGAATCTTTGAAGTGGATTATCTGAATTAATATAAAATCTTTCATATTATTGAATGACAATTAAAATAAACAAATTTAACATAATTCTTTGTATTGCAATAGAAAATACAATAAAGAATAAGCAATGAATTGCTCCATGAGATTCCATAATATCATAAATAATCTAATATTAACCTTCTCCTGTAGTGCATCTAAAAAGTGTTAAGAGTGCATGATGAAAATCCTTAAAATTATAAGTATCATCAATAATGCTACCATTAATGACATCAGAATATAAAAACACTGCTAGGATTGCAAATATACAATACATTAATAACATAAGCAAGATTAATTCAAATAATTCTGGTAATGCAAAAGTTGCAGTATCAATAAGTTTTTTTAAACCCTTCAATTATTTAACCAACCTAAATAACTTTGTTACTCTCAAAACTCTAAATACTCTAAATAATTATGGGCCAGATGATAAAAAAGAATTCTAATTACTTGCCCCACTTAATTTTAAAGTAATATCTAAGGCAGATGTCAATACTACAAAGAAATCAAATTAATTCCAACTATTCCTAAAGTATCCTCTTGGGCCATAAGCAATTATCTTTAAAATACATTCCCCAATAAAAATAAAGTTGAAACACAGATTCAATGTTTCTAAAATAGAATTGTAATTGCTTGAAGATTCTATAATTAAATTAATTATTACCGTCATAATTCAAAGATAATACTACAATATTAAAAATTATAAGAAATATTATTGTTCCATCAAAATATTTATTAGATATTAGTTTAAATATTGCAGCTCTATATAAATTCATGGGAGGATAGTATAATGCAAAATTTGGACTTGAAGCAACAATCATTTTCTAAATATTTATCCAATCCTCTTAATCAGCAGATATAACTTTATCTTTCATTGAAAAATCAGCAAATTTATAATTAACAAAAATTACTCCTGTAAATAAATCCATCAATAATATAGAACCTGTGTATATAAAAGTTAAAAAATATATTATTATCCATAATTAAGCATTCTTTTCTGGACCATCATCACTTGCATCTATATACCAATATATTTGTTTATCCCAATCATCTCTTCGACTTAGAATAAATAATGTCAGAATTGCATTGAATATATTATCAAAATTCATATTCCTATTACTCCATTATCCTCCTAATTCCTTACATTATTATTAATCATAATAATTAAACTCATTTATTGTGATCATATTGCAATAATGCATTTTATCTTAAAGCAAACTAACACCTAGAATACCAAACATTACAAAAACTAATAGTATAATTATAGTCACATTTAGTACACCAGAAAGTGAATTTAATAAAGTGGTAACTAATAATTTAAGTTATTTATTTTCTTTGACTAATCTTAAAGGCCTTAATGTTCTCAATAATCTAAGTACTTTTATATAACTAAGATTTTAATCAGTGTAAGGTATATCAATAATCGAAAAAATTATAATGATAAAATCTAATACATTCCAACTATTTCTCATATAAGTATTTGGTTCAGTAATAAATCCTTATGCTATTACTTTTAATAGAAATTCAAACAGAAAAACACATGTTATAAATATATCAAATTCTATAAGGAAGTTATTAAAATATGTATCCAAAATCAATTTTATAGTACTAAAACATATGACAAAAAAGATAACTAAAGAAAACACTTTGTGATTTATAATTCTTTAACAGATGATTCTAATAAAATTTTACTCATCAAATAAAAATAAGGAAATCTTACACTATCTATAATCAAAGTTATAGGTAAAAGCATTTTTCATAGTAGACATTCTCATATCATTTGAACTTGAATTACTGAATTGTGTCTTATCCTTATGAAAAATAGGATTTTCTGGACTTTCTTCATTCACTTTATCTACAAGTGTCACAGAAATTTGAGGTCTTTAGTATTGAATTGATTCTTATTAATACTCATCTTCAAAATAATTCAAAAGACTAGCCATTAATAAATTAAGTAAAACATAATTGCCAATAAATATCCACATTAATAGATAGATAATTACTAATGAATTATTTACATCTGAAAACAACAATTCATATAGCACATCAATCCATTATAAAATCAAAATTTAGCTTACAACTAATAAACTATCTAAAAAAGTATCAAAACTAGTTCTGTATTGAGTATTTGTTAAAGCTCCTTAAAAAAATGACATACCTAAAAGTGTAAATATATAAATGAATAGGAATAATAGAAATGTTATATACATAAGTGAATAGAATGCATTGCTCAAAATTTAGATCAAAAAGTTTGTATATGCCAAACTCCTAAAATAATAATTATTATTAATATTACCTCACTAATTTTGTTACTCTAAATATTCTAAAAGCCCTAAAAAGTCTCAGTGATCTAAATGCTTATAGATGTGATCCACTTCCAGATGATAAAAAAAATAAGTCAATCAAACTAATTAAAACTATACACAAATCAAAAATATTCATAATATCTTTGCTGTATTTAGAAATACCATATGTAAAAATCTTTAACAATTATTCAATAGTGAATAAAATTGTAAAAAACAAATTAAATTTTTCTAATTCTGTTTTATTGCTAACTAAACCATCTAAACCCAATACAATTGTGTTGGCTAAGACGAAAAGATTAATTATATACTCAAAAGTATTTGTGCTTAAAATAATATTCATCTTAAATCTAACTAATTTGTATAATCCTACAATTCCTTTCATATAAATGTAAAAACTGTCTTAAGTATAATTTAAGGCTTTAATGATCTTATCATATTTATTCATCATAAAAGGATCGAAATCAACTGCTTTGACTTCTAAAATTGAAGCCTCAGTTATTAATTCTCCATTCATATTTTCGATATCTTATATTTTTTATAAATGAAATTGCTAATAAAATTTATGATTATGAAAGTATTCTTCCTTTGGTATTTTTATTTCAGGTTCCTTTATTTCTACTTCCTCTATTCTATTTCTTAACTATTAATCGGTTAAATCAAGATTAAATAATTCTTTATATTATTTATATGTGTATTTTTAAATCTAATTGTAAGGTTTATAGTAAGATTTTCCAATCATTTTTTGTCGATTGCTTCCATTAAATGAAGAAGGTGATCTAGCAATAAAATCAGCTTATCTGGCAAATTTTGATTATTATTTTATAGTGTCAGGAAAAATCTTCATATTTTTATTTGAGGATTCCTTTGAAGAATCATATGTAAGCTTTCTATCCTTTTTTTCAAATTTCTTCTCAATAACTTGAATTTATAATTAATATCTTAATAAAACCTTCATATTCCTATGCTTTTCCTCTCTTTTTTATAGTTCAAGTAATTGAGTTTCTCTCTCTAAGGAAGGTAATACATCTTTAATTGATTCACAAATATGTTCTTTATATAAGACTCTTGGATATAGTTTAGTTTCAAAGAGTCTAATCTTTAATTTCTCATCTTCTTTGCTAATCTCTTAAGACTAAGGTTTAAACTATTCACCTCTCTTTTATTTTTTTGATGTAGGTTACGTTTATTTTTTTTGTTCTTTCTCTGCTTTTTCTTCTTTATCTTCCTAATATTGAATATCTAACTCTTAAAATCTCTCCTTTACTTTTTCGTCAGTCACAGACTCAATTTCAGTTAATGAAACACTTAGGGAATTATCTTATTACTTGACTTCTTACTCAATTCGACTTTTTCTTAAAGCTTATCTGACTGTTGTTATCAAAGCAGGAGCTCTCTGAAATGAAGAAGCAATTAATTTCACATCTTTAATTAACTTTTATTGAGCTAATGTCTATCTTGGATTTCTTTCCTTTTCTCCTTAGAGCATTTATTCTAATTCTTAAAGTGGATTACTCTCTAAAATACTAGTTCCTCTTTTGAGAATATTTCTTTAAGTGGCTCTTCTATACAAATGATTATTAGAATCATTATTTTTTTATTTTTAATCATCATTCTTAACTCCATAAATTCCATGTAGTGTTATCATAGTATTATGATGCTTAAGTTTTTTAGGTTTACTATATTCATTAATTAAAAGTGGTTTAAATGGCAATTTGATTTGAGCAATTTAATTAACAGAATTCTCTATAAAAGTTGGTTGTTTAGGTTAAATCGATCTAATGATTCTTGATCTTCTCATACTTTATTGCCTATGAAAATTTTATTTTCTTTTATTATCATTTATTGGTTTGTAAATATTTAATCTTTTCAACTATCTATAATTGTAAGACACCTCTTCAATCAATGTATCCTCAATTTAATTGGATTTCTTAAAATTTACTTTCAAAATTGCTAAAGTTAAATGAATTAAAAAATATGCACTAATTATTATGAATGTGATGAAGTAAAGAACTGCTACTTCTGAAAAAGTGTATATAATGGCTGCCATAATATCAACCCATCCCTCAAGGTTACTTATTATAAACACTTGCAATAAGGCTAGACCAAAATTATCGAAACTTAAATATCCTTTCCTTGGATTGTCTAACATTTTACCACATATAAAATTATCAAGACATTTATGACAATATTGCTGATCTATTTCCATTGATTATATTCCATTTTCATCAAAACATCTATATTTAGTATATCCTTGAAATAGTTATAATCCAATTATTGCAAATATGATTTGTGTGAATCCCAAAACTAACAAGGCATTTGCCAATTCATTAAAAGATAAAAAGAAGGTTGTCATAATTTACTTTAAAGATTTTATAGATGAAATTGCTTTTATAGGTCTTAAGACTCTGAGTGATCTCAAAGCACTTAATTATACTGAAGTGCTCATGAAATATTACAAAGAACCAGCCACTATAACTAATGCATCAATTACATTCCAAATATCTCTCAAATATGCACCTGAATTCAAAATTAGCCCTTTTCCAATTATTTTTATTAATGCTTCTATGTAAAACAGAATTAAAAATGTTAATTCGATAGTTTCTTGGTCATCATACTAAATTGAAAGTAAAATTGAATTTATTATGATTACTACTAGAGTCAAAGCCTCAAATAATTAATGTTTTGAAATCTTCAAAGCTGTGTATGAAATCGTTTTGATCAAAATAAGTATTTATTTTCTAATACGCAACATCGGATATCTTAGCTACTTTAATAGCTGACTATATACTTATCTCTATAATAGTAAGCTTTCTATAAAGAATTCATATGGATTAAATCAATATTAATCTGCTCTGGTACATTTGCTGCCTTATATTCCTATTCATATTCTTCATCTAATTCCTCCATGAAATCGTTTTGTAGTTGTTAAACTCCATTCGTTATATACTCTGACCTGTTAAATTCTTCATTCTCTTTCCATAATTCAACCATTTGATTTAGGACAACTTTGTTCTATTTTTTCCGATCCGTAAAAGAACCCTTAATTAGCATCACTAAATACATCATCACTCAAAAAGCCATCTTTATCAGCCATTAAATGATAAGTTATATAATTTATAAATTCATTATATTAAAATCCTCCTAAAAGTAATTTATTCATTGATCAAACAACTACAACATATTTAAATTAGAACACCTTTATTCTAATCAGATTTATCTATTTAAAATGAGTTCCTAAATTTTTTGTTATTATATTTAAGTATATATTTAAAATAGCAAATTGCTTTAAATATAAAATAATTATAATAGCATTTAATACAAAACATTAGCTACTAGAATTTTTCTAAAGAAAGAGAATTTTTTATTTAAATCTGAAAAATTATTACTTAAACAAATTTAAGTAATAATTTATTTTATTATCACCTAATTCCTTATACCTTTAGTTATTTTATTATTAATAATATGCTTAGCAAATTATAAAAATTTGACATAATCTATAATGACTTAGCTTTAAAAAATATATTGTAAATTAATATTAATTTTCAAAACTTAATAGAATCTAAGTGATATTTTTCTTTTGTAGAAACCTCAAGACAATTAAATTGTCAATATATTATAGAAATTTAATAAGTCAAAACCGAGATATTCTAAATCTTTATACAATATAATTGTCTGTAAGGTTTAATTATTTTTTATAACTTAATAAAAAAAGATATGATTAATGAATGAAACTATCAGAATATAAGAATAATAGATTTTTTCTTCAAATTTATGATCAAGATTAGCTCTATTTTAAAATTAAGAATGAGAGGCTTGATTTTTATTAACTGTCTTTTAATAAATGAGGAAATAAAATATATTTTAAAAAAATAATTATTAAAAATTCTTAAGAATTCCTTTTAGATTTTAAAAAATATTTAGAAAATGAATGAATCTAATAATCAATTATGAAGCAGAAAATTAATAAAATAGAAATCTAGAATTTTTAAAACATACTTTAATTAATAATTGAAATCTAAAATCGAATAATAAACAAAAAAAATGTAAAAATTTGATATTAATTATTATATGTTATATATTAAGATCACCATGTTATTACTTTATATTATAAGTTGTTTTGATGCCTCAAATCTTACATCGATATGCTTAAACATAGGACTAATTTGCACCTAATTTGGAAGTATAAAATTTGAGACAAATCAAATTTTTCAAATGTATGAAACCACGATTTTATCCATTTAAATTAGTCTGATAACAGTATATAATAAATAATTAATACCTTACAATATTGTTTATTTGCTACTGATGAATGACAGTAAGAGAGTCAACTAATAAGTTTTTAGAAATTTGTCACTTTTAGGTAAAGAGTTTACTGTAACAAAGGAATTAGTATATTCGTCATAATTAATGTATCAAACACTTTGGTTGACTATTTTCGCAATGCAATTTTTGCTTTAGGAGTGTTATTAATAATTATACATAAATAATTAAAAAACAAAAAGGAAATTTTTAATCATTATTTTTCAAATACAACCAAATCTTAAAGTCCTAGATAATTAGAAAATTAAGGTATTATGCTTTTTGATAAAAAAAATTTGAATTGCATATATATGAATGAATACATAAAGAAAAAACTGAATAACAAATCTTTAAAAGTTAAAAAAGTTGACTTTTCAAGCAAATAATAGTTGGACTTTAAGTTTAAAAATATTGAATTAATAGAATTACTAAATCAATTTAAATTAAAAAAAATAGGTTAAATGCAGATATTAGATAGTGACTTATTGCCAGATCATATTATTTAGATTAATTAAGAAGAGAATAACGATTTGATTAATATCACTTTTTATGATAGTAAAGAGAGAGATGATTATCTTAAAAGACAATATTTATATTAAATAATGAAATAATTATTTACAACAATCTCTCATGAATTTGGAACACTTTTAAATTTCATTTTGGCTATTGCATAAGTTGCTATTGACAAATATCCATCTCAATAGTACTATTATTCAATAAAAAACACTTGTGAAATTATGCATAACTTTATATTAGATATGGTAGATTACAATGATATTCTTGGTAGATAATTCAAATTATAATTGGAATAATTAGATATTTCTAATATTCTTGAATCTGTAACAACTTTGTTTCAAGAATAATGCAAATAAAAGTAATTATAATTAGAATATTTAAATCACATACCAGATGGTTAATAAATTATATCAGATTAAAGGAGAATCAAATAAATCTTAATTCATTTAATATCTAATGCTTAAAAGTTTACAATAAATGGTTCCATTATAATTTCTGCAATTTAATTAAACGAAGAAAATATAGAGTTCTCTGTTACTGATACAGGAATAGGAATGAGTAAAGATGATGAAATTAATTTAAGGGAAATGTTAAAGTAAGATTTTAAGAGTGAACAACATATATCTGCAAATACAGCAGGATTTGGGTTAGGATGCTATCTAGCTAATAAATTATGTTTACATTTATCAAATTAGCAAAATGGTTTATAGTTTAAAATTAATGAAGTAGGAACAACTTTTTGGTTTATGGTATCTAATAATATTTTGCCAACTTCTAGTTTGAATGGATTAGGAATCTAAAAAATAAATAAGTATTCTTATATTGATTTAAAATAAACTTAAATTGAGAAAAATGTTGGAAGAAGATTAAGTAGGATGGGTAGTAGAGTATCCTAAAATTCAATGCCAAAAGTATTATCTTATAGAGGATTAATTGATCAAATCAAAGAAAATACTGAAAGTCTAATTAATGAGGAAGTCAATTCAATTGAAAGGAAAGCAAGGACTACAACATTGAATAGAAACATTAAGCAGACTTTGAAATTTTTAATAGTAGACGATGAAATGATCAACATTATAGGATTATCACTAATATTAAAGAGGATGGATATTGAAACTGATTATGTTTTCAATGGAATTGAATGTTTGAAAAAAGTACAAGAAAATAGATATGCTTATTAAGGGATTTTTATGGATATTAATATGCCCTTAATGAATGGATATGAAACAAGTAGAAATTTAATATCTCTTTATGGTAATCAAATTAAAATAATTGCCTGTACTGCTTATACAGATAGTGATACTAAATAACGGTGTTATGATATAGGAATGAGCTATTTCTTGAATAAACCAGTGAATGTAATAGAATTATAAAAAATACTTATTTAATTTTAACAATGATACTTTTTAATGATTATTCTTATTTCCTTAACTTTTTTAATAATAATGATTAAATAATATTATATTTGAGTAAAATCAAATCTGATAATGAGATAATTTTTATTCTTCTAAAAATGTCTCGTACTCTTATACTCTTTTTGAAATGAGTATTAGGCTTTGTGAATTTGTCACTATTGAGTTAATCTTTATAATATAGAAACAAAAAGCAAAATAAAATTATGATTTTAATGTGATTATATTTAATTATGATTAATCATAAAACTTCAGCAAAATAAGGGCTGTATATTCTTTAGATTGTTTACGCGATCATAGAATGCACAAGAGCCTCATTATTTAGTTTGATATTGCTAATCATATGTATATGCATTAGTTTATTTTAAATTATACTATTGGCAAGAAATAGAAACTTAAATATCTATGCACAATTAGCAATCAATGTCATGAGCGTAGTTGCTAAATAAAGTGATCAATTTTTGTTGCTCCAAACCTTTGTGGGATTTGCTCTATTTTTGTAAAATGAACAAAAGAGATGGGTTGTAAATATCCTCACTTGTTTAAGTAGTAATAGGAATTATCTTAGTCCAAGTAACCATAATTTGTTTCTATTCATAAAATAATGAAGTCCAATCATACTTTATGAGTATTTTCACTATTATATTTGTAACATACTTTTATTGGGCTATCAAATTGCCAGGATTAAAAAAATAATCCAGTGGAACAGAATTTTTGCCTTTACATCAACAAAATTCAATCAAATCTATAATTTAAGTAGATGAAATGCCTTAAAAATCCTAAAATATAATAATACTTGAATATTAAACTTTAGATATTAAATAGATTTCAAATTCTCTAAAGGACTTATTATTTTATGATGAAATATCAGAATTCAATTTATTGGACTCAATTAAAATTATCAAAGTTGATAAATAAACACAACGTAATCTTAACTAGAAAATCAAAGGAATTACTTTACGTTAATTAATTAATAAATGCTAAATTCTTCAAAAAACTGATGACATTTTAATTATAAAAACAAATGTTCTAAAATTAGAATATCATTAGATTAAGTTAATTTTTTCAAAAGAAGTTATTACACTACAATTTGAAGATATAAAAGAATTCGCTAAATATATTAAAAAAAATTCATGTTTCGCCTTAATGAATAAACTCTTTTAATCATTCAGTCATGAGTTTGGAACTTTGTTGAATTAAATTGCCCTGATTTCTTAGAATGGCAAAATCTAAAATCCTAGTATGAAGGAACAATTTGATTTTATATACAATTGTTGTGTTATTATGAATAATATGGTCAAAGACTTAAAGGATTTTCATTAACTAAGAAGCAAAACATTCTAATTGGAAATTGTTGATGTTAACATTGATGGATTATTTAATGAATTACAACATCTATTTAAATAATAAGCAGTTGCAAAACAAATATCTATGTTCATGATTAATAAAGTGAAAATAGGGTTTAAGTAAGATGAACAGAGAATAAAGTAGATCTTGCAGAATTTGATACAAAATGCAATCAAATATACTAATTAAGATGGTGCAGTATATGTGACAGCTGAAAAATATGATGACAAAAGAATTAAGTTTTCAGTTCTAGATTCAGGTATAGGAATCAGTGAGAGTGTTACATAAAATATAAAACAAATGCTTAGTAATGATTTGATTTTAACTTCCAAGATTTCAGAAGGAACTGCTGGTTTAGGTTTAGGATTATTAAACTCAAATTACCTAACAAAATAATTGTCATCCTTCAAATAGGCCAATAAAGAATTCTTATAGTTTAGTTCTAAATAAGGAGAAGGTACTAATTTTTGGTTTTATGTGTGGAAATACAATTTGTTAGAGTCTCCATCTAATCAATTTGAAAATAAATCAATACAAATTTTAGAAAAAAAAGTGTTTCTTCACTAAAAAACCAATAATTTCCCTCCTCCACCAAGTTTATCCAACTCAAAAAGTTGCCCATCTTAATTCAAAAGGATGAGTTAAAAAAAACATTCATATACTAACTCCTCTAACTAAGTGTTCTTTCCTGCGGATGCTTAGGAAGATAATGCAATTGTTATAGAGGAAGAGAGCCATACAATAGAAGATGATCCAAAACCCAATCATCTTCCTGATGGACGTATAAAATTTCCATCTCTAAATTACCCTGAATGCCAATGTTGCAAATTACTACTAGTCGATGATGAACCTGCAAATTTGTTTCCATTAAAGATCATGATTAAGATACTTGGCTATGAAACTGATTTAGCTAATAGCGGAATCTAAGCAATCAATCTTGTTTAAATGAGAAACAATTCGCATTGTTAATATCGATTAATTTTAATGGATATAAATATGCCTTAAATGGGAGGATTAGAAACTACAAGGAGAATTAAACTCTATAATCCCGAAATTGTAATTGTAGCATGTTCAGCATTTAGTGATATGTAGACAAAATATGAAGCTTAATCTGCTGGAATGCAAGATTACTTAGAAAAACCTATCAATAAAGAAAGTCTATTAGAAATTCTAACAACTTATATATGATATATTATAATTATTGATGAACTTATTTAAGGAGTTTACTTAATTAAAATACTTCTCTCTAAAAGATATACTTCTCTTTACAATAGTAAAATATCTATTCCAATTTTAATATAATTAATTATTATTAATCCATTAATTAACGGATGTAATTTCTTAATAAAAAATAGTACTATATTATTATTTTTTCTAAGTTGTTTAATAAAATTACTTAATCATTAGCTTATATCTAGTACAGATCTTCTAAAAATAGAAATTTTGATTAATGCAAAAAAATTGATAGTAATAAAAATTTAATGATGAATGATACTTTAGTGGTAAAATCGAGAATTCGCTACAACCTTCATTCCGAATTTATAAGTTTTTTCTAAGTGGTTGAGCAGGGTGAATTAAAAATGGTTAGAATTTGGTAAATTGCAAATAATTATAAAGTTGAAAACAATAAATGTTTGAAGAGTTTAATAACATTTTATTCTAAACTCTTTTTAAAGGGGTGGAATATGGAAAGTGTTATGCGACTACCTATTAAATTAATCCATTTCTTTTTTTAAAAAAGAGAGAAACATAGAATGCAAATAGTTTTATTCTTAGCAGAATGGCGATCATAAACTTAGGGCGTGCACAATAAGAGTAATTCTTTGAGAAAGTCAAATGACTCTAAAAATTTAATTTATATTTAATCAAGCCAAGCAATTCAATATCATTTATCTTGATATTTAAATAGTTAATGAAATGAACATAAAATATAAAGTATTTTAGGAAACTCTTAAGTCATTTTCTTAATACTACTAATTTAAGAATTGATTCCTATGAAATTTTGTTTCAATTTTATTAAAGAATACAGACAGAAACTTTTAACAGCTACACCCTCTTAGGCAGTTTTAGCTCATATAATATAAATATAAATAAATAACAATTAATTTTGTGCTTGATTAATAGTTCTTCCTAAAATTTTATTAGTAGGGTTCCATAATTAAATATAACGGTCAAAGTGCAATCAATTTTAAACCAAATTTCTAATCATTTACAATTTTATCTTTAGCCATTTTTAATATAAAAAGAGCCTAAATTTTAGGTAATTTTGCTAAATCCTTTTAATTATTAGTATAATTGAATTGTAAAATAGCTAATTGAAGTGATTTATTCAAGAAAATCATGAATGAAGACTTTGAAAATTACAGGAGAAATTTTTTAAAAAATAAACTACCAAATAAATTTGATTAATATTAACAAAAAAAAATATTTTTTTCTTTGCAATTTATTATTTATTAAAAATTAAGGGGTCAAAAATTGGTAAATAAGTTTTTAAAGAATTAATTTTTCTAATAAAAATTAAATATTTCTAATTTATCAAAAAAACTATAAAGTTATACCTTTTTTAAAGTTTTCTTCAAATGCAACTTTTATAAAATTTTTAAGACTTCAACTCAAACTGAATATTTTCTAATTTTCTATTCTATCTTTATCTGTTTTTCTTTAACTTTTTCTTAAATTGATAATTGTTTTTCTTTAGACATTTTAATATTCTTTGAAAACTTTAATTAACTTTTGCTACTGATGATTTCATAATTGGGGTCATTCAGGGAGCTGTCTCCCCCAATCATCTAACATGACGGTAGCGTTCTACATCGGTTAGAGACGATTGCTGACCATGACTATCAAGGAAATCAGAATAAAATCAAGAGGTTGAAATTCAAGGACTCCAGATTCGGTCGAGGCTGGTACCTAGAGGAAGATGTGCATCTAATATTTTCTTTTTTAACATAATACAAATATTCTGATAAACAGCTGTAAATTTGCTAAATAAAATAAATGAAAACCTTAAAACCTTAAATCCTCCTTAGTTACTCCTACCTATTTTAGTCATGACCTAAATATTGTTTAATTCATCATTATTTAAATCAAATCTTTTTAAAAAATAATGCTGATCCATTTTTTAAAGTTAGGCGTATAATTTGTTATTAATAAAAGATTTTTCTGCTTGATACTATAAAATAATTTCAAAAATTACTCAAAGCTTGAATTAAAATTTTTAGGATTGAAATTTTATTTCAAAATAAACGATTTCTTTCCACCGTTTAGATACGATATAGTGTTCTGAAATTTAGGTGTATATAAGTTTATCCCTTATTTTGACATTCATGTCTAATATCAATAAAGCCACCTTAGCTCTTTTACATATTTTTAAATACCTGTTTATGATCTAGAATTACAATCTCAACAATATTACTGTAATTTTGCTTAGCAAATATTTAATTAATTAAAAAAAATACTTAAGAAATCAATATTAATTTTAAGAGCACCAAATTAATAAGAAGAATGAAAAGCGCATCTATATAAAAATCATCAATTTTAGAAATTCTGAAGTATTAGAATTTTACGCACAAAATTTGAATCAGAAATTTGAGGCTTAACTGTGTCGTATATATTGTCAAATAAACATGAACAAAGGCAATAGTTAATTAATTTAGATTAAACAGAAAACATATTTTGATTAGAATTTCATTAAATGATTATGGGGCTAATGAACTAATGAATTCATACTTAAAAATGATATGTATATATATGAATTTAGAGGTTAATATATTATTTTCTAAGATTATAAACATTTTATAAAGGTGTTGATTTATTATTTAAATTGTTACTTAAAATTTCAAACCTATTGAATAAATTAACATTCAAATTACGTGTAGGTGGTTGTGGATCTATTAAAACAATTCCCAACACTGATATCTTCCTAAAGTCTGATATTTAAGACATAGAAAATTTCATTACAAGCCATATAATGGTTTATTTTTTATGAGGAAAATATTTAAAAACTCATAAAGAATTCTTAAAAGGTCATGAAATCATACAACTTAATTATAGATGGAATCCTAAAATTATTGAAAAGTTTTTTGATTTAAGTCAAAACGGATTAATTTAAATGTTTATTCATCTTAAGTACTACAGCTTTCCTATCTAAAGTGATATTTAGCTTTCTTATAAGAAAGGATTAGAGATTTATGAACTGTGACACAAAAAAGCAAATTGTGGATATTTGTGATGAATTAACATAATAAATTGAAATAGAGAAAATGATTTAATTCAACCTTAATTGGAACTTTACCTTTTCCTAACAAAAACTTCTTTTTAAATGGCTCCAAATGATGGTAAAGATAGGGATGATATTTTAAACGGTTGTTTAAATGGTATCTTTAACTCAATATTAGATATGAAACCTAATACTGAATTTTTATATGTAATTGTATAGAGGAGCCTGCCTACTTTATAATAAGTATGCAGTTTAAAAAAAAATAGAGAATAATATGAAGTTTATTTTCAATTGATATGTTGCAATGGGAGATCAAAAATAATTTAAAAAATGACAGCCAACAGAATTTGGAAGAAGTAATTATACATCTTGAGAATACTCATTAATAACTTGTGAAAAATTCAAGTAATTGAACAATCATTTTTTGTGGATCTAAATGATTGGAAAAATCTTAATATATAATCCTCTGATGACAAAATAAAAATTAAAGCTGACAAGCTCTTTCAATCTTGAAACCAAATGGAAGGAATATCTGAACAAAGGATTTCTGATTAAATGAATCATAGCAATGACTAAGCTTTAATTTTACTTAATTAATTTAACAATAAAGTTTTAACTTTAATTGATAAATTAATATTAGAAGACACTTTCAAAGAATGGGAAAACTTCATGTTGCTAAAAGGCTTCTTAATGAATGAAAAAAAAGATAATATCTATTTCATATTTGGCACTTAATTAAAATTAGAATTAGAAAGTATAGGAAACTTAGAATATGAATATATTTAAACATTTTGTTAAATTTAACAATATTTTGATTTCATCAACTCGAATAAATTACTAGCTTGTATTAGGAAAATGAAGAGAGATTGGACGTAATAATTAAAAATAATAAAAATTTTATACAAAAAAATTAATAGTATAATTTCACAATAGAAAAAGCCGCTTATAATTCATAATTAAAAAAAATAATTCACAATTTCAAAGAATATTTCCAAAACACTCGAAAAATCATTAAAATTATTATGCTTAGTCTAAGGAAATAAGACTTATAGATGGAATAACTTAAATAGAAAAAGAATGATGAATTCAAAATTTTTAAATAACTTAGATACATAATGAGATTATTAGAATCAATATTGTCATAATCAATTTAAGATATTAATGATTAGAGAAATGAAAAAGATCAAAGCCTAATGTTTTAGTAAGAGATAGAGTTGATAAAGGGGGAATTATAAAATTTAAATCTTGCAGATAATAATTTCTTTTGCCAATAAGTTTAATAAAAGCTACTTGCCTTCCCTAATGCTGCTCTTAACAAAATAGTTTTTTGAAAGAAGCTTATTGCATGTTAAAACTTACCGAACAAACTGAAAAATAAGTCTCAGAACTAGAAACTTTTTTACTAAAAAAGGATAACTTAATTTAATACTTTTAAAGTTTATTGAATAACCTAAATTGTTATTATGAAAAACAGATCTAAGAACTTCAAAAATACTTTAATGAATTACTTTTAAGTTTTAATTAATACTAATATTACAATATGAAATAGAGTCTCTTTCTTTACCTGAAAAATTAATAGAAATTAAATAGCAATATTGTTGTAAGCTTTCAAATTAATTTATACAAAAATTAAGATTGAACATTTTAAAGCAGAAATAACAATTATGAATGTTTTTTACAAATATTAAAAATACCATTTGTAGAATTTTAATAGTTACAAAAGTTTATAAATTTGGATGAGTTTCTACTTGATGTAGTTAAGAATTATCCAAAACGAATAATTTGTTGGGACAATTAATTTTATAAATAAACTATTGCAGAATTAAGTAACTTATAAATTACTGAACAAGACTATTAAAATAATTTAGCAAATAAAAAATTGGGAATCATGTACTAATGCCTGTTTATATTTCATTACCCTCTTTAAAAAACCCTGTTTTTAAGCAGTTGAGGAATCACTTAAATAAGATGATTATGGGTTTGATGATGTTTAATTGAAAGAATGCAAAGAAATGTTGTAAAAGAAAGAATTCCGATTCATATATATAATGGACAGTTATGATGAAATGAAGCTAGAGAATATTTTGAATAATTTATACATTAATAATAAGCTCAAATAAAATTGGTCAGACCCTCTTGTTATTTTTACCACAAGAAGTGACATTTTTACTATCAGCTATTATGCCCACTGGTTTGGGCCTGAAGACAAATAGAAATTTAAAGAAATCTAGCTTCTTTGTTTTTAATAGAGTTAAATATAAGAATATCTTATAAAATTTACGTTTTAAAGTATTAAAATATTAATTTTTTTGATATGCATGAATGGTATATATAAACTTAAAACTAAAAAGCTCTGGATGTTAAAAAGGTTTGAACAGAGTTGGGAAAAGATATAGTCATCATTTTTGTAATTCGAAGAAGCAAGGTGGAAATCTGAGACTCCTTTGTATGAAAATAAATCAACAGTATTTTTTAATTTTTGAAGGATGATGAGTTTATTGCTTTAAAAAGCAATGAAGCTATAAGAAGCTTGAGCATAAATTTACAAAAATAATGGAGTTTGAAAAAGTATGAAGATATGATGATAGTCAGTAAATCTAAATAATTTAGTGGAAACTCCATATATGATGGAAATTATAGTTTATGCCCAACTTGATTCTTAAAGCAACTGAGATTATTAACATTAAATAAACCTTCTTGAAGAATTTTTAAAAGATGTTGAATGAATTCTTCATAAGTAAATACAGAATTCAGATGTATAAATCGCAACAGAAAAGGTATCTGTTAGGATTAAAAAATGAACTTAATAAAGAATCTGAAGCGGAAAATTAAGCTGATAATGATGAATTCTTGGAAGTTATCGTAAAAAATTATACCAAAATGATGAGAAAAGCTTGAATAATTTTTGAACCATACTCTAAATGATTTATCAAACTTGGGAATTATTGATTACCATGAAATTGCTCTTGGAGTTTGGAATTATTAGGAAGAAAATTCGATACCTTAATAATTGTAAATCTCTTAAGATTCTGAGGGAGTGCATTAATAACTTGAAAATATATTTGAAACTAATCTTTTGCTACCAAATTAGATATTAAAGAAAATAAAAATTTAATAGGAAAAAATACTCTAATTTGGTAATGATGCATTAAAAGAACACAATCTTACAATTTCTGACTTTTATTGTGAATTTCTCAATTATTACTACTTGAAATAAATCGAAAAACCAAGAAACTTAGGATAATCTATATATGCTGATCGTTTTATGCATGATCTATTAGAATACTCAATTAGATTTGCAAAAACAATGAGTAAGAATGAAATGACATAAGTTTAATTTAAGTAGCAAGGACTTTTATATTAAAATGAAACAGAAGAAAAATTACTAAGAGAATTTTTTAATTATGATGATTAAAACGGAGCTTATAAAAAAGATATACGAAGTTGCTCACTTGTCTAATAAAAAGGTGCTAATTTTTAATTTACCCATAAATCTATATAAGAGTTTTTGATTACAACAGATTTATATTAAGTTTTAGTTCAATCAAATAATTTTGATACATAAATCATGAATATTATAATAGAATTATTGTCAAAAGAGGAGAATCAAAATTAGGATTGCTTAGAGTTTCTAAAAAATCTCAAGTAAAAAAATTCATAAAATTATAATTAAATTGGAATTAAATCACTTTTAGAAAAACAAAAATAAATTTATGCCTTTGAATAAACTATTGATTCAATTGCTAGTTTAATCAATATCATTAAAATACATGGTATTAATTCTGTAAATTATTCCACTGAAACTTATACTGAAACAAGGCAATATCTTATTAAAAAAATATAACATGAGGTTAAAATAATTGAATTTTTGAAATTCTTAATACATCTTACAAAAATTGATAAATATTTTATTATAAGTGGATCTAATGCAATTAATTTATTGGTAGAAATGTAGGTGGATCTAACAAACTAAAATTTTGAAAATATAAGAATAGAAATACAAATTTAGTGGGAGGTAATTTTTCGATATGTAATTTTTCTAAGTCTAAATTTGAGAGTGTGAATATCAATGGAATCAATTTAAATGGAGCTTAATTATTTGGATGTAATTGGAAAGATTTAAAAATAAACAACTTATATTAATTGGATGGTCATAGTGGAACTGTCCTATCAGTCTGTTTCTCTCCTGATGGAAATACATTAGCTTCTGGTAGTTGGGATAACTCTATCCGTCTATGGGATGTCAAAACAGGATAATAAAAAGCCAAATTAGATGGTCATAGTAATTGTATTAACTCAGTCTGTTTCTCTCCTGATGGAAATACATTAGCTTCTGGTAGTGGTGATTGTTCTATTCGTCTATGGGATATCAAAAACAAGTATTGTTCAGATTATAGATTTAAAGAAATTTAGGTTAAAAATACAAGATATCCTTTTTTTAACACCCCTTTGCAGTAAAAGAATATTATTTAAAATTTAGATACATCTAATATTATGGTTTACCCAGACTTCAATTTTTCAAGGTTTAAGAGAGTTTTTTATAAAAAACCGTTTCCTTTTAGGAGAATTATAGGAGTAACACTTGATTAATTTAAAAACTAACCTATATTAACCCTTAATTTAAATCTATTTTAATATACTTCTTGTGTCCAATATTTGTTGATAGAGTTCTATTTTATAGTTTTTTCTTTTTTAACAATCTTGAAGCATTACTAAAATTGAAATTAATTTAACCCATTTTAAAATATTATGAAATAGAACTTTTAGTTGCATGAATGCAATAATATCTTAAATCTTTGTAAACTGTTTTTTTGTAATTATTCTTATCATAACGAAGCATTTTCTCTCAATTTATATTTAGAATGTGAATAGTACCAGATTTATAAAGTAGATTCTACA